AAATGTCTTGATTTATGAATTAATTTGTTCATTACTATTAAAAACTACATGAAATTATCATTATATTGGAACTTAGTATTTTCAATAACCTATAATCTCAGTCCATGGACACCCATATTTGGTCCTAGTATAAACTCTTCTCACAACAAACTTTAAAGTAAAAGATCTTTGTTACATCAAAAACTAAGGGAAAGCTGATTGGTTTTCCATTCTGATACTATGAAGGAACTGATATCACAGGTGATAGCTACCTCAGATTGTTAATTTGACAGGAACCTAACATCATCATGAATTCACAACTCTGGTGGGTTTGATAGTATTGGCGGACAAGATTAACTAAAATGGGAAGAATTCATCTTAAACCTGGGAATTACATCCCATGGACAGGGGTTCTGCAGAGAATATAAATAGAAATTTATATTCTCCAAAATTCAGGAATCTCTGTTTCCTTAGATGCAATATGACCAACCAGCTGATCACACCTGTGATATAATGACTTCCCCACTGTGATAAACTACCTTTCTCATGATATAAAGTAAATCTCTTCTCTAAATAATGTCTTTTATTTTTTGAGATTATAGTATAATACTTTATTTCAGATCTGTGTTATATTTCATATCGTTGGCCTTTTATCATTTCATGATGTAGTGTGTGTGTGTGTGTGTGTGTGTGTATAAATTTATGTCTCTAAATACCTAACGTCTATATGATGTTACTTTTATGCATATTACCACTACATAAAAACCACAACCAATCATAATGCAGAATTGTGGATCTCTGACAAACAATTACTGCACATAAGTGTTGGGGAATATGTAGAAAGATCCAGAGAACAGGGAATTTTGTGGTAAGATGATCTCCTAGTAAAGTCTTTTAAAAAACTAGTCAAATTTTTACCAATATTATATCCTAAACAAGAGCTGAACAAGAACAACAACAGTAGACATTTCAAAGTGGATGAGCTAAAGTCCAGAAGGTTTCAACCCTATACAAGTAACTATAGGAAACTGAAGAATGCTAAGAGTGGGATAAATATTCTTCTTCAGGAAACAGCACATCAGTTGGTTATTCAATACCAAATCTTACTCTTGAACTTGCTTATGTCAAGTAAATCATCACAGCAAACAGAGCAGAACTTCATAGAGAACACTGGCTGTGAGTAATGAGGACTTAGTGATGATAACCCTGGACAAGTGTCTATTAGGCTGTAGGCTAGTTTCTGAAAGAAATGTTGAAGGCTTCAAGGTACAGCAGGCATGGAATGTGATCAGCAGAGATTATATAGCCATTTGGGTAGAGTTTGACATATGATAATTCTAAAACCAATGCAAATAGTAGATGCCACTGTCATGAGCTTTCAGAAAGGGCTCTTTAAGAAACTTGGTTGTGCTTAGAAGCTTCTGTAAGGAAAAGGACACAGTGGACAAGACCAAAGGGCAGCCCACAGACTGGGAAAAGATTTTCACCAATCCTATATCCGACAAAGGGCTGATGTCCAAAATATACAAAGAACTCAAGAAACTAGTCAACAAAACACAAAATAACCCTATTAAAAAATGGGTACAGAACAGAAGAAAGAATTCTCAATAGAGGAAGTCAAAAATGCTGAAAGACACTTAAGAAAATGTTCCATATCCTTAGCTATCAGGGAAATGCAAATCAAAACAACTTTGAGATACCATCTTACCCCTGCCAGAATGGCTAAAATTAGAAACACCAGTGGAGAGGATGTTGGAGAGGATGTGGAGAAAGTGGAACACTCCTCCACTGCTGGTGGGAGTGCAAACTCATACAGCCATTTTGGAGATCAGTATAGTGGTTCCTCAGGAAAATGGGAATTAGTTTACCACAGGACATGGCAATCCCCCTCTTAGGCATATACCCAAAGGATTCACATCCATGCAGCAAAGACATCTGTTCAACTATGTTCATAGCAGCACTATTTGTAATAGCAAGAACCTGGAAGCAACCTAGATGCCCCTCAATTGAAGAATGGTTAATGAAGATGTGGCACATCTACACAATGGAATAGTACTCTGCAGAAAAAAAAAATAATGGTATCTTGAAATTCGCAGGCAAGTGGATGGCACTTGAAGAAACCATCCTGAATGAGGTAACCCAGTCACAAAAAAGAGGAACACAGTATGTACTCACTCATATATGGATTTTAGACCTAGAGCAAAGGATCACCAGTCTATAATTCACACCACCAGAGGAAGTAGGATACAAGGTGTATTCTAAGAGATTCATATAAAGTCCCTCACAGAACTGGGAAGGGACAAGTCCCCCAGAGCTCAGGTGAAGTGGAGGGGCAGCGAATGGAGAGAGAAGTAGGAGAAAACGAGGGGGAGGAAAGGAAAACATGTGCGACCAGGAAGATTGAGCCTGGTTAGGAATAGAAGATAGGAAAGAGAAAGAGAGAGACAGAAACAGAGAGAGAGAACATAAAAGAGGGAGCCAATATTGGTTTGAAGATAAAATTGAACACAAAGAAAGGTCTAGAGAACTACAAGACTGCTGCCAACTAACAATTTGAGCTTCTGTGGAAAGGCTGTCATAAATTCCCTTCCCGGAGAGTGAGATCAACAACTAACTTCTCCATGGAGCCCTCAACTAATTGAAAACAGGAGCAAACACCCATACATAAACACTGAGTCGAACTAGAACCCAGATGCAGATGGAGAGGACAAGACCATGCGGTAGAAGCACATAGAGACAGCTTACCTGAACAAGGAGGAGCTAAGGGCCACTAGACTGATAGCTGGGAAGCCATCAGGGTACTGACTCTGGCCCCCCTGAATATGGGTCACAGCCAGAAGGTCTGAGCAGTCTAAGAGACCTCAGACAGTGGAGCCAGGATGTGTCCCTGGTGCACAAAAGGACTTTGCAAACATATCCTCCATGGAGGGATAACTGCCTTAACCTAGAGACAGGAGAGAAGCCCTAGTCCCTACTTCACAGGACCTGTCACATCTACATGACCCCAACTGGATGGCATTCCCCTACATATGGAATTGGGGTCGGGGGATGGGAGGGGAGGGTGTTTAGAGTGCATGTGAGAGGGCAGAGAGGGTAAAAAGGAGGGGAGAAGGGAGGGAGGGCTGGAAGGGAGGGAGGGCTGGAGGGGAGGGAGGGAGGGAGGGAGAGGGAACTGGGATCGACATGTAAAATAATAAATTAAAAAAAAATGCTTTGATTCCAAAATTTAACTTGAAGAACAAGTTACTGGGGAAAAGGATTTCTATTTTTGTTTCCACAGAAAATAAAAAGATGTGGATTCCTTCCAGACTAATGTGGTTTGATCACGCTAGACCGCCTGAAACAGAGTACAAGCTGATCCTACATTCCAAACAGCTGGACAAAACAGCCCTACAGGATATCTGAATCTTCTTCGAATCCCCCAAGACAGCGCCCCTTACCAGCAGGAAGTAGTTTGGAAAGAACGACGCCCAAATTCCCAAATATTGTGTATAAATGTTTGTTTTCATTTAATTGGACTTTGTTATATAAAATAAAATAAATTAATAAAAAAGAAAGAAAATATAACAAACTGAAAAAAAAAAAAAAAAAAAGAAAAGAAACTTGGTTGTGTTTTTCGCCAAGATGGCGCTGAAAGCAAAGAAGGAAGCTCCTGCCCCTCCCAAAGCCGAAGCCAAAGCGAAGGCTTGAAAGCCAAGAAGGCAGTGCTGAAAGGCGTCCACAGCCACAAAAAGAAGATCCCCACATCACCCACCTTCCGGCGGTCCAGCGGCTCCGGAGGCAGCCCAAATACCCTCAGAAGAGTGCTCCTTGGAGAAACAAGCTTGATCACTATGCCATCATCAAATTCCCTCTGACCACTGAGTCAGCCATGAAGAAGATAGACGACAACAACACACTTGGGTTCATTGTGGATGTCAAGGCCAACAAGCACAAGATCAAACAGGCTGTGAAGAAACTCTATGACATTGATGTGGCCAAAGTCAACACCCTCATAAGGCCTGACAGAGAGAAGAAGGCATATGTTCGGTTGGCTCTTGTTTATGATGCTCTGGATGTTGCCAACAAAATTTGGATCATTTAAACTGAGTCCAGCTGGCTAATTCCAAATACACACTTTTTCACCATTAAAAAAAAAAGAAAGAAATTTGGTTGTTCAGCATTTATCCATCCCATTCCCCATAGAGGGATAATCTCTCAGCCTAGACACACAGGGGAGAGCCTAGGCCCTGCCCCAAATGATGTGACAGACTTTGATTATCCCCCATGGAAGGCCTCACCCTTTATATGGAGCAGAAAAGGGATTGGATGGGGGTTGGTGGGGGCCATGGGAGGATCAGAGGGAGAGGAACCTGGGATTGATATATAAAATAAGATTGTTTCTAATTTAAATTTTAAAAAGGGAAAAAAACTTGGTTGTTGACCATCCATTTTATTCCCTGCTATCTATCTTGGCCTCATTCTGTCCTGTTCTTAGGATCAAGGTCACATACACTTACCTATCTTTGAATACTTTGAGCTAAAATAATGACTGTCCTGGGAAGATATGCTCACTGCTATCCAAATTCTATAGGTGTATCAAATCACTTTCTTATTTCATGTAAAACCCACTCTCCAAAAGGTAAATTATGTCTGGTATCATTAAATGTCCCAAAAACATGTAGCTGGCTAGGTTCTAGGTCCTAGGGGAGAATGCAATAGCATCATTTTGTTACATGGACATAGTAATAATGTTCTTGTTATCTTTATACCCAAAGATTAGTGTAGTTCTTAACCCTCATCAGAGATGACCCTGTAAGAACAGCTAACACAAAATGCTGACAAAGATAGGGGAATTCATAATTAGCAGTGTTAGCCAGGATATATATTCATATAGTTACTGAGAAGTTCAGAGTCTCCATAAGCTGAGAGTGTAATTACTTTAATACAGAACAAGTGATTTCCTTCCCTTGAGAGGCAGAACAGTCTACCCCCTCTTCACAAGAAAGCAATACCAAAGCAAAGACTTCACACAAGTTCACCATGGGAGCCAATGAGTTTATTGGGTGAAGGTTTACAAACAGGTAGGTGACCTCAGAACAGCAGTACCAAAGAGACTTCACACAAGATGGGGGTTTACTTCCCCATGCTTGCATTGGTGAGTCTCTGTCAATTAACCTTCATGAAGACTGTATACTATATCACCTCTGGGGACACCAAGGTCAGAGTATTAGGGCATAACTGCAAACAAATGTCCAATGACATGCCCCATCCCTCCTCTGGGAGAATCGACAAGCTTGTAAGCAGTCATGGCTGATCTTATGAATATGACAGTTATTTTTCTCGGAGGACTGTGTCCTACAACAGCATAGTTATATTTATTGAGGTACTATTCACTACAGCCAAGTTGTGGAGACAGCCTCAGAGTCTCTCAAGGAATAAAGAAAATGTGGTTTATATAACCCATGGCATTTTTTTCTATTTTGAAGTAGCATAAAAGCCTATTGTTTGCAGGAACATAGATGAAATTCGAAGAAAATATGTTATGATAATTAAATGAGATGTAGCAAGAGAAATATTAAAATTTTCCATTGCATTGAAAATTACAAGGAAGGGGAATTATTATGTAGGAGCAAAGTGATTAAGTACAGTGGGTCAGGTGAGGATAAGAGAAGGTATGTGGACATGGTCAAAGCTGTATGTATGTAGGTATATATAAATGCATGAAAATTTCCTAGTGAAAGGCATTTACATATACAATGGCTGTGCATTAGCAAGCATAGCAAAATTATTTTCAAAAGGTCAGTTCACACTGAAGAATGATGACATAAACCTAGTCCATGTGTGGCCACATGGGGATGACAACGGTCCTTGGTTATGAAGCAGGAACTCAAGTTGTGAATGCTCCCAGTGAGTCAGTTCTGCCGATTTCCAACTTCTTCCTACAATAAGTACATATTTAGAGATAAACAGAAATTCATACCTCAGAAACTAAAAATTCTAAGTCATGTCAGGGTGACAAGCTAAGACTTCTAGTAAAAGCTAAAGCTTAGAAAAAACATCCTAGTGCCTGACTGTAGAATCCCTCATAACTTCCACATCTGCAATATTTACTTTACTTTATCTTTTCACATGACAGTAGGTTTACTGTGGTCACCCACATCTTCCTAGGTATTGTCACACATGTCACATATTACCATTTAATCTTTGTTATGAGATTGATACTATCTTTCTTTTACATACAGGGCTCTGAAGCAAAGAGACATTAGATACCTTGTCCAGACCACATACCCTAGAAGTGGGTATTTGAACTTATGTGTTTTGACTCCATTTAAATATAACAATGGTGGGCCATTTAGATGTCACAGAAAATCTATTACCATTATAAGGGCTATATGGACCTTTTATACTAAAACATGACATCTAAACATGGATTTCTGACTAGTGTCTGAATCATTTTTATGTAGTTGGTTTATGAAAATTGATATTAAAATATGTAGCAGTGATAGTAGATTACAAAGAGCACAATGTTCTCATGGATATCATTCTGATTCCTATTCAATTACATTTTTATGATGAATTGATCAAAGTTCAGACAGACTAACCAGTGTGGTGGTCTGAATAAGAATGGCCCCCATGCAGTCATATATTTGAGTTCTTGGGCCCAAGTTGGTAGAAATATTTGGGAATGAATAGGAAGTATGGACTCATTAAAGGAGGTTTGTCACTGGAGGAAGGGCTATGAGGTTTCGAAAGCCCCTGCATGGCATTCTCACTCTTGCTACCCATACAATTTCTCATCTACTACTCCAGTGCAATGCCTGCCTCCCTACCTATGACCATGTCTCAGTTCCATGATGAGCATGGACTCCCCTTCTGAAACAGCAAGCTTCCAATAAACTCTTTCTTCTATTAGTTGCCTTGATCATAATATGTTATCACAACAATAGAAAACTAACTAGGACACCTAAAACCACAAGACCACAAATGTTATCTCAGCATATTCATCATTGAAATATCACAGATAGACCTGTCTGAGCATGCTCAGTGTTCCATATTCACTATTACTGAGATACAGAATCTACAGAAATACTGTCAGATAAATAATAAAAATATGGTTTACATACACATGAAGTATTATAGAGTCATAAAAAAAACTCTCGTATTTAGAAAAAAGTGGAGAGGCTGGAGAGATGGTTCTGCAGACTACAGTTCCAATGTATATGATGCCCTCTTCTGACCTTTGTGGACACCCGGTACATAGACAAAAAGCTTCTGTAAGTTACAGTCAGCAAGGCCAAATGGCAGCCCACAGACTGGGAAAAAATCTTCACCAACTCCACATCTGACAGAGGCCTGATCTCCAAACTATACAAAGAACTCAAGAAAATAGTCAACAAAACACCAAATAACCTTATTAAAAAGTGGGGTGCAGAACTGAGTACAGAATTCTCAATAGAGGACTTTAAAATGGCCAAAAGACACTTAAGAAAGTGCTCGACATCCTTAGCCATCAGAGAAATGCAAATCAAAACAACTCTGAGATACCATCTTACTCCTGCCAGAATGGCTAAAATTAGAAACACCAATGATAGCTTATGCTGGAGAGGATGTGGAGAAAGGGGAACACTCTTCCACTGCTGGTGGCAGTGCAAACTTGTACAGCCATTTTGGAGATCAATATGGTGGTTCCTCAGGAAAATGAAAATCAGTCTACCACAGGATCCAGCAATTTTACTCTTAGGCATATACCCAAAGGATTCACATCCATGCAACAAAGACATGTGTTCAACTATGTTCATAGCAGCATTATTTGTAATAGCAAGAACCTGGAAGAAGCACAGATGCCCCTCAACTGAAGAATGGATAAAGAAGATATGGCAAATACTCACACATATATGGATTTTAGACATAGAGCAAAGGATCACCAGCCTATAATTCCCACTGCCAGAGAAACTAGTATATAAGAAGGAACCTAAGAGATTCAAACAAGGTCCCTCACAGAAGGGGAAAGGAACAAGATCTCCTGAGCATATTGGGAGTGTGGGGGGCAATGAGTGGAGAGGGAGTTAGGAGAAAGAGAAGGGGAGGAGAGGAGAACATGTGGGACCAGAAAGATTAAGCTGGAGGGAGAAAAAAAAAGATACCATAATAGAGGGAACCATTATAGGTTTGAAGAGAAAACTGACTCTAGAGAAATGTCCAGAGACCTACAAGGATGACCTCAACTAACTATCTGAGTAATAATAAATGCCCTTCCCTGATAAGGAGATTGATAACTAACTTATATGCCATCATAGAGCCCTCATCTAGTAGCTGATGGAAACAGAAGTAGACACACACCGCTAAACACTGAACCAAACTCCTAGAATCCAGTTACAGAGAGGGAGGAGTGGTAAGAAAGGGGTCAAGACCAGGCTACAGAAACCCACAGAGACAGCTGATCTGAACAAGGGGGAGCTCATGGACCCCCAGACTGATAGCTGGGAAACCAGCATTGGACCAACTCAGACCCTGTGAATGTGGGTCTCAGAAGGCCTGGGCAATCTAAGGGACCTCTGACAGTGGAACCAGGATGTATCCCTGGTGCAGGAAAGGACTTTGGGAGCACATTCCCCATGGAGGGATACTCCCTTAACTTAGAGGCAGGAGGGAGGGCCTAGCAGTCCCTACTCCAAATGACTTGACAGATTTTGTTGATCCCTCCTGGAAGGCATCACCCACCCTGTGGAGTGGGGGTGGGAGGAATGGGATAGGAGAGTGATGGGAGGACATGGGAGGGAGGGGGAACTGGGATCAATATGTAAAATAAGAAAAATAATAAATATATATAAAAGAAAAATTAATTAATTTTTTAAAAATTTTTGAGACAGAGTTTCTCTGTGTTAAGTCTTGGATGTTCTATAACTTACTCTGTAGAACAAACTGGCCTTGAACTCACAGCGATCCACCTGCCTCTGCCTCCCAACCCCTGGGATTAAAGGCATGCACTACCACTGACTGGTTATAAATGATTTGTTTAGTTAAAACAAATGGATGGAGATGGAGGACATTAATTTCAGTGAAATGTGTTATATACATAGAGATTATCATAAGATAAAGAAAAATGTGTATTTGAATGTGGAATGCCAGTTAACAATTAATATAGAATAGAAACAGCTGGGGCAAGAGACACACTATTAAATAAATGTAGTATTTTCTTAAAATATTACCTCTGTGGTCACAGTGAACATCATCTTTATTAACAATTGATCTATTCAAAGTGGAAGTTGGGAAAGTAACTGAGAAGTAGGTAGAGAGAGGAACCATGGTTCAAGGCATAGTGTATTATAGGATGAAAGGAATGGTGGTAGGAACAGTTCCACGTATGGCAGGTGTGAAGCTGATTCTCACATCTGGGAAGATCAGGAACTAGAGAAAGAGGTTGTTCACTCTCATATTCCCCTTTTCCAATTTTAATTCAGTCTAACATCCCATCCCATCAGAGGGTGTCACCTATGTGCCATGGGTTTTTCCTACCCAATTATATCTCTTTAGAAACTCACACACACAGAGTAATCAGATGTAAATCATATGGTGATCTTAAATATAGATAAGTTGTCAATGATTATTAACCAGAAAAACAGGAAAGAAAATAAAGGCATAGAGAGGTAAGAAGAGAAAGAAGGGTGGGGAAGGCAAGGAAAAGGAGGGGAGGGAAAAGAAAGGAGGGGGAAAGGAGGGGAGGGAAAGTACAGTCTCCTTGAGGAACAGTGCATGGTTCTCTGACCCGTCTGTCCTTATGGATCTCACTAGCCTTTGAAATCAAATTTGGCACCCTTTACAGACCTTCTTTCACATAGGAATAAAAGCACTCTCATTTGCTTTTATTGTCTGTAGGAGAAACTTTGGCCAGCCTATCCAAGCCACAGTCACCCTGCCCACAGTCACCATGTCCAGGCCAGCCTGTATGAGCATGAATGGCAGACACTTCTTCCCTGAGCCAAGCCTGCCTCTATGCCCAGAGATGCTGACAGAGAGACACCTGACCATTGCCTGAGTCATTGGTGCTGTGTCTTCTCACCTCCTTCCCCAAAAGGTGTTTGAACAGGGTAAACTGCAGTAGTTGTCATTTACTAATGCTGCACATTTTCCTTCCCCTTCAAGAAAACAATTTTACATACTTTTGTGCATGCTGAATGGAGCAGTGTGTGTGTGTGTGTGTGTGTGTGTGTGTGTGTGTGTGTGTGTTCATGTGTATGAGTACAACTGAACACATCCCTGTCTTCCACATGGAGGTCAGTGAATAGCTTCAGGTGTCACTTGTGGCCTCCTACCTTGTTTGAAACAGGGTCTCTTATGTGCTGCTGTGTTTATCAAATAGTACCCCTGGATATACTCTTGTCTCTATCTCCCATCTTGAGGCATTAGCACTGGGATTAAAGATTGAGTTACAACATCAGCTTTACATGGACTCTTGAGATGTGAGCACAAGCTCTCATTTGTGCAAAACAAGTGCTTTATTTACTCACTAAGCAATCTCCCAGCCCTCTCCCCTCAAATAGATCATTATCGGTACTAACAGATCCAGTACTCTCTCTTCAAATAGATTATTATCAATATTAACAGATCCTTGGACACAGAATCCCACCATGGCCATAATGACAGAGATCAGCATCAAGACTCTCAGCACTCAAGAGTCTGTAGTTTCCCAATAAATTTCTCAATCTAATAAAGTCTCTGAATATACAAAATGCCAATGGATTCTTTTGTCATGAAGCACCTTGAAGTCCATATATATATATATATATATATATATATATATATATATATGTGAACTAGATTCCTTTTTTATAATGGAAAAACTGAATTTAAATAAAATTTGTAAGCTCAGATCTGGTCAAGTGTACAAACATAAGGCAAGCTAATGAGTACTGACTTGTGTCTTCTTAGGTGAATATATATCCATTCATGATAGTGAACAGAAAAAAAAGAAGAGATGGAGAGAGGGATGAGGAACAGAGCAAGGGATATTGAAGGTTAAAGAGATATGTGTAGGATAGAGAGAGAAGGCAGGATCAAGAAAAGAAGTAATGAAGGAGGAAGGCAAGAAGAAATTAGAGAATGAAGGAAAGAATTTAGATGCCAAATCTAGAAACTGTGGCTGTTTACTGTAGGCCATATTTTAAATTTCTGTTTTCGAGGAACAGAGAGGAAACTTATTTGCATGAGAAATCATATCAGGTCAGGTAAAGCCTTTCATGGGAGTTGAGCTTACCATTTTGGTGTGGGTAGTGGAATAAGACATCTCAGTGCTTTCAGTTTCAACACCTTTCTGCATCTTATGAAACCACTTCTTATATTCCATTCGCACCTGGAAGTTTGAAAGAGTAATTAGAAGCTTGGCTCACACCCAGAACTTGGTTCAAGAAAGTGGAATCTATCTAATATGGGATACAAAAGACACAAATACTAAATCCTACTATCACTGTTACTGTCTTTATACACTACACTACACACACACACACACACACACACACACACACACACACACACACACACGCACACACACAGACACACTTGACCAGATCTGAGCTTACAAATTTTATTTAAATTCAGTTTTTCCATTATAAAAAGGAATCTATGATGAATACCCAAATGACTTGATGATGTTGCTAGTGGTGATAGTGATGTTGATGATTATAATGAAAATGGTGGTGATTAGTATAATTGAATGATCATGATACTACTGAATGTGATGGTAGTGCTGGTGATAATGAAAATAAGAATAGTCATTATGTTCATAATGATAATCATTATAATATTGGTGAAAATAAAGATAATGGTCAGAGTAGTCCCATTATGACTGATAGATTAATATGTCGATTATGTGATATAGTCACAATGATCAAAGTGGTAGTGATGATGATGATGATAATGATGATGATGATAGTGATATTGATGATGGTAATAAATATAATAGTGATCATCATAATTATAGTGGTGTTAATTCTGAAAAGTATGGTGATTGGTGACAATGGTTGTGAAAATGGCATGATACATATGATTATGTTAACTATGGTGGTGATAAGTATGATGAAGTGTGTATTAGTGATGGCAGTGACATGAGTGGTAATGTTGATAGTAGTGATAATGATAGTAGTGATGGTGTTAAGAGTTATAATAATAATGAAGAAGATAGATATGATAATTATAATGATGTTGATGACTATGATGATGAATGTGATGGTGATGATAATGAGCAGGACAATGATATGATGATGGTGGTGGTGAAGATGAAAAGGCAGAGGAAGATGAAAGTGTGATGATGGTGGTCAAAATTTACTGAATAGATATATGTGAGGCAATTAATAAGCAACATAACAATTAACTTTCATATGAACTCAATAAGAAAAAATACATTTTTAATCTCTAATTTAGGTGATAGAATCTAAATCCTATGAAAGTAATATTTAACAGTTGTATTAAAAATATAATTTGAGAACCTGTATAAGACCAAACTAGACTCCCTTAATACGTGACAATGGTATGGCTGGGACAATATATGAGGCTACTGGCAGTGGGTCCAAGATCTAACTCTAATGCATGAACTGACTTAGTGGAACCCATTCTATATGGGGAGATACCTTGCTCAGACTAGACACAGGGGTGTGCGGGGGTGGAGAGATGCCTTGGTCCTGCCTCAATGAGATAATGGGACAGGCTTAGTACACTTCCTAGGGGAGGCCTTACCCTCTCTGAGGATCAGATGGGAGAGGAGAGGAGGATGGGGAAGGAGGAGGGGAAGAGGGAGGGGGAACATGATTTTATAAAGACACCCATGTCACATTTTACTTCTGTTGAAATACTTAATTCAAAAAAGTTACAGATTACCATGCATACTAGACCCATTAAAAATATAGTGGATTCTTTATAATTAGCAAGCTTACCAAGAGCAGACTAGCCCTTCACAAAAACAAAACAAAACAAAAAACTCTTGGAAGAGAACTAAGGATTTTCAAAGTTAAAAGCCTGTAATTATATCACATCAATTGCAGGCCAAGGGGATATTTTACAACAGAAAAGAAAGAAGAACCCCTTGTTCTGTAAAACATCACATAAGTATCAGATCTCCAGAGAAAACTTGTATTTACCCATGATCCTCTCCCAGCAAGGAATAAGGAACCATTTGATCTGTAAAACACCTTATAAGAATCTTTTATCAGAAGGGAGAAACTGTTTAAGAACAAGACTCCAGAGGGGAAGAGGTCTGTGTTCAAAGTAACCTAAGTTTTCCTAAGGCACTTCACTGTGAGGGAGGAGCACCAAAAATAGAGGAGACACAAAATTATGGAAGAAGAATTAATGAACTGTTATAATGATGGTCCATTTGTATTAGCCCTTTAACTGTTGGTATCTAACACAAACAAACCAACAAACAAAAAGTTCACCAAAAAATTGTTGTAAATAAAAATTAAAGCATATTTCAACAAACAAAAATTCACCGATTGTTGTAAATAAAAATTAAAGTATATTCATAGTAACACAATAAAAAAAATGTGTGCCAATGGATTATATTGCACTGTATTATAGAATTCTAACCCTTCAAAATAAGACAGTGTAATACTTCCAGATGATAAAGTTGACTCAGAGAGAATAGGTATCCTCTTTGAGGTCACAAAACAAACTACTGAATGGAAGAACGGAGAGTGAGGTAGATTGCCCCAAATATCCTAGTATCATTTTGTACAATACTAATCACATCAGGGAAACCACCCATCACCTCCCTGGTGAATTCAAATTTGATCATGAAGTTTGTTTTGAATAATCAAAAAAGTACAGAAATGATGACATCTTTAATAGCTACATATAAGCTTTAAGATCTAAGGTGTGTGTGATTTACATATAATCCCCTTCCCATTTGATACCGGACAAATAATAACTTACATTGTACCCATAATACCAGGCTAAATCACTGTGAAGACTTTTCCATTTTACAAACACTAATTCAACCAAGTGACTATTATACACCATGTACAAGAAAGAAATCTTTAAGCCACCAACATTGAAAATTTGGTAAAAAGTGCTATTTGTCAATGCAGGGCATCTCACCTTGACATGCCCTTAAGACATATGCTTAGATGCTGACTAGTTACAAAATACAATGTTTGACATATCTAGGCAAACTTAAAAATTATAGTAAATAAATGAAAATTTCAAAATTGAAATGTGAAACTCCAAATATGTGAGCAACTGGTCTGATAGAATTTTGCTGCTAGGTTAGTAAGAAATGAGACAGCCTTACCTGGCGACTAAGCAGACAGTGTACCACAAATATCAAAACCCCCTGCAGGACATTGATGATGGTAAATAGATAGGCAATGATCAGTCTGACTGTCTTCCCGAATTCAAAGACCATGAATAAGCCAATGCCCCAAGAACATCCCAATACAAATAGCTGAACAATGGCTTTAAATGTCATGATCCTGGAAGAAAACAACGACAACAAAGTTAAATACTGTTCATTAGGCTTTCACTATACGTTAAGCTAGCATTGGTGGAAACCACATTTTTATGTATTATGTTACTGTATTTTGGAAATATTTTGCTTATTAAAAATGTAATAGTCCTTCCTTCCATCTTTCTTTCTTTCTTTCCTTCCTTCCTTTCTTTTCTTTCTTTCTTTCTTTTTTTTTTTTTTTTTTTTGATGAGAAATGTAAAAGGAATAGATCTGGGGAAGAAGGGAGGTAGGGAGGGACTGGGAGGGGTGGCAGGAGGGAAAACTTCAGTCAGGATGCAATATATGAAAGAATAAAAGAAAAAATTATAGCAGCTCACACTTGAGGAATTTGGTATTTTTTAAGATGTTGAAACTGTTGATGTATATGGGGGCTTTTGAATTATACTGCATGGATTTTCCATTGTGAGATGGTTGTGAGCCTGTGAGGACAAGGAGTAGAATGTGATGGTTTAAAAGTCAGGTGTCCGGGTACCAAGTTACTAAGGGGTAAACTGTGATGCATCAATAGTCTACTTAGTAGGAACTAAAGTCACCTAAATGGCCTGCTTCTAAACATACCAGTGGAGGAGTATTTCAATCAAGGTTGACCTCTGGGAATATCTTGACTACAGTAATTGAGGAAGGAATTCCCACCCAATGTGGGCAGTATTATTTCACTGTGCTGCAATGGTATATTATACAAAATGTAGAAAGGAATCTGTATATGTGAATGCAATCACCACCATCTTCTTTCCATTTGTGGATGGAGTAGTACCAGGTACTTCAAGATCTACTTGTCTTGACCTTCCTATGATTGTGGACTACACTCAGTTCAAGACTGTGAGGCAAAATATATGCGTTCTCCTTTAATACGTTTTGACAAAAATTTAAAATAAAAATGTCTTAGTACACAATTGGGGTAGTGCACTAGTTTGTCTGAAACAAAGAATTGTCTTACTTCTTCAGTTCAATGTCCATGATTATGACCAGAGAGTGGACATGGAGAATTTTTTCTGCATATGTATGTTTTTGTGTCTTTTCTTATTAGTCTGGGTATGGGAGCCATGGCTTCATACATACTAACCAGGAATTCTATCTATGAACCAGAGCCAGACCCATTACCATATTTTCCATCAAGGTTTTCTCCCCTAGAAAATGTTGCAATGGGAAGAGTTGATTCTGGTACATTCATACTTGGTATCCTGAAGAGTAGAAACTTCTTTATTGAGGGAAGAAAGTTTGCTTCTCAAAATCCATATAGTTTGAAAATAGAACACCAGGTTTATCTGCGGAAATGGCAAGAGAAAATGCATTGGAATTTCCTTTAGGATCCTCTCTTCATATAATACAATTTTGGTTTGATATGAGATTCATTCTCCAAACAACTCAGGCTCCATAAGGATTCCATGGGCATTCTCTGCTTTATTGTGTACAGCAAATAATATATGTCCTGTTGCTCTAATTTCTTGTTTTCTTTCCTGTATAATTTTTATTCAGAATCATACATTTTGAAAGTAGAAAGCTGTTTCTGACCTAGGCAAAAAGTATTAATTATTAAGTCTCTCGGATATAGAAAAACATCTTGTACAGAGTAGATGAATATCCCCTCAATATTTTCTCTAAGTACAAATCAGATAATGAGTCTATAACTTTAAAAACAATCCAAGGCAGACTGCTATGTTATAAATTTAAAGTTGTAACAGAGTAAGCAGAAATAATATAAGAGATGAAGGATGGGGGGAGGTGCTGGGGAATGCTGTTTTCTGTGTATGGTGTGCTTAGTATACTCATAAACTCACAGCCATTGTGGTTATCTACATAAGACCCACACAAGACCAAGTCAGTGAAAATACCAGTATGGGAGAAGAAGGAACTCTTGAGGTTTCACCCCAACTAAGGAATGAATGGTCTTGATAGCTAGCATAGGAAAGAGACTCAATATTTCTTTTTGTATATAGCCATTGATATAGTAGGCTCCACACCCATGCACATACAGGCTATATCAGTTTGACTTAGTTGGATATGTTAAAAAAAAAAGAAGAAGAAGAGGATGTGCAATTGGGAGGAGAATTTTAGTAAAGAAATAGGGGGTAAACAGAACCATAGTTCCTTGTATTCTTCAGTAAAATTCTCAAAAATAACTGAAAAATCAGCTAAAGGGAGATGAGCAAGTGAGGGGTGGATGAATGATGACAATATGTTCAGGAACAAGTAACTTTCAGACTGAGCTCTGGTTCCATATCTTCACCTTAGTTGCACTTTAACGGAAAACAAGTGCATTCTATTTTTGGCCAACTGAGTGTAGGTACATCCACCAATAATAGTCACCTACCAAGATAATGGCTGCCACTGGCCCCAAGAAGCTCCAGATGAATGCTCTATTAAGGCTGAGCCAGCAGCTGTGGATAGGAGATAAGAATTAGCTGTCTCTCTCACTACAGGAGTTGAACACAGGCTCCCAATATATGACCTGACACTGTGCAGAACCATTATTTCTAAGCTGGATTTCAGATGGAGTTCTTATCTGACACAAGGTGGGTGCACTGAGCATCAGCTTTCCCAAGTATGAAGTAGGAAATGATCAAATATTGGGGAAGATTAAATGACTGGTGAAGCCATGGGAAATTTAAAACTCAGTAGCTGTGAATGAACAACATCTCATGTTATAACTAAAATAAATGTTAACCAACAACATCAAAACAAAAAACTGAGAGCCAACACTGTTGGGATTTGAAAAAGACAGTAACATGTAGACAGGCTGGTTTGAAGGACAATATAAAAAATACAAGGTTAGTTGTCCAATGAAAAGTTTGATGTTGAAGTTACATTCATACATTTCCACCTTGCACACACACACTATGCTTACTGGGTATCTGTTCCATAATTTTCATGGCTGGCTATTGCAGACACAGCGACAATAAAAGCAGGGATTCCATAGCCTACAGGATACATGAACCTCTTCTTGAATCGTCCTGAGCTGCTGTAGTTGGCCACTTTGAGATTCCTCACAGTGAGAAAAAGATGTAGTCCTTCCAGAAACATCCACATGAAAGAAGCCAAGTAGAGGTAGTGCAGCATTCCTGCAATGAGGGAGCATAGCACCTAGGAAGGAACAAAGAGAGTGTGGTGAGGTAGATGCAGGGTATACCTGATCCAGTTCTCAGTACCTACTATTCATTGTATGTTGGCCTAGGATTTCAACAGAATTCTGTAACAACTTTCTTGGAGAGAATGGACATTGAGGGAACCTTTTCTTGTCATTGAATTTTACTTTCCACATTAATCAATAATCAGGTCAGAAAATGCCAAAGAGTAGATACTGTCAATTTGGTAATGCTCAAGGGTTTATAGATCCATATTCTATTGCTCTTGAACTCCAAAAATAGCACTATGACATGTGTTCTGTGATGCCTCCTGGAGGTGTTCAGGGGAATCTACCTGCAATTGTTTATGCTTGGAAATTTCTTGAAACCAGCCATTCATTGACTTTCCTTCCACCTTGGTTCTATTTTTCTTCCTATCTGAAGTAGTTTGGAAAGAACGACACCCAAATTCCCAAATATTGTTTATAAAAGTTTGTTTTCATTTAAATGGGGTTGGTTATAAATGGTTAATGATCACAACTAATATCTTTTTAAAGGTAAAAAGGGGATTATGGTATAGATATGAATACTTTGTTTTGAAATGGATTTTCATTGATACATTTTAAGGTCAATTTTGTGATATGTATATTTCTCCTCTTGTTTAGGTATTGTGTTTATATAGCTCATTTAGAAATGTAATGTATAATTTAGTACAGATTTTAGCTAGTTACCTATAATAGTAAAAATTTATAGTGTTAGGTTTTCTAGATATATAGAGATGTATTTGAGATGGATAGGAATTCTTCAAACCTTCCAAAGACCTACAAAATATGGCATTTAAAATGTTTTAGGGTTTTTCTTGTCAGTGAGGCATAACTGCTCCTGGCAATACCACCTGTGTCAGAAAGGAAGATGGACCTTGAAGAAAGGAGTTATGAAGTTTGCTCCCAATATGGCAAGACTAGCCATTTGGACAAGATACTGCTCTTGTCTGGACTGTTTGACTTTGTGCTGTATAAACTGGACATGCAGGACCCACAGGAAAGTGCCTGCTGATTCAAGATAGACATTGCTACAGAGTTCCTGCTTCATGGAAGAGTCTGCCAGACAGTCTGCAGGACACAAAGAAAAGTGGCTGACAAATTGCCAACACAAGAAGACAGTTTAAAGTTTCCTGCTTTGCTAAAGAGTCTGCCTGACACACTATGGCCTATGGGCTGAAGATGGAAGATTACAGAAGAACTTCAGGTGACTGATCAGGCAATGAGTTGTCTCTGTCATTTCTAGAGTTTATATATTCTCCTTCTGTGGTCTTTGAAGGAGTTGAAGACAGATAGTTATAGTTATAGTTTTCCTTAGTTAGGATTAAAGATAAGTTACATAGACTTTAGACACACAAAGATAGAATAGATGATGGAATATTTTCTTAAATCTTGCTAAATGTTAATGTTGCTTGCTAAATATTGTTAACTGTGATTCTTACTTAATAACTGTTGTGTTATATATTTTGCTATGTTAAGGTTAAAACACTTCCTTTTATTTAGACATGATTTAGAGATGATGGGAGATGTCATTCTGTATATATGTTTCTCATACTGGTTAATGAATAAAGCACTGTTGACCAATAGGAAAGGAAGATAGGAGGGACTAGGAGACAAGGATGAAAGAGGAAAGAGTAGGGAGGAGTCAAGATGGAGAGATGGGCGAGAACAGAACCACTGGCCCCCGCTCTCCGGTAAGAAAAGACCACGTGGAAATACATAGAAATGGGTTAATAATTAAGACAGAGCTAGCCAATAAGAAACTAGTACCTGGCCAACAACATTACATCAAATACAGTGTCTGTGTGTTAAGTGGGGCAGGCGCAGACTCGGGACAAGACTGGCGGCAGGAGGAAAAACCTTACTCTTTACAATAAAATGTGTTCATTAACTATTTATTGTAGGATCTCTGTTTAGAGAAAATAATAATGAGCACTCAGAGAACAATATTCACTGATTATTAGTACTACATAATATGATAAATGTTCCCTCAAGATGAGATTTCATCACTTTCAGTAGACACCCAAACTTACACATCAAAATAAGATGATAACAGAAATAAATATTAGGATATTGAGTTTTAAAATATATGTCTGCTTGTGGTCCTAAGCATCACAAATACTTTGCAGCTGGTATTGTAACATTACTTCCTTGATCACTCTATGAAGTTAAATCCTAATATCAAAAATTGGCTAATATCATTTACAAAAGGAAACATGAAAATATTCTTCTCTTTATGGAAAAAATTAACAAAAATATATAAGGATAGTAAATTAAAATGAATAATATATAAGAAACAAAGCATTTGTTTAACAAGGGCATTTTATCATTACCATGCAAGTAGAGAGAGAATTTTTACTTATTTTGTTTTATTTTGTCTTATATTTTGCTTTCTGAGTTTTCCTATTGTTTGTGTATGCTTACTTTGGGGTTTGGTTGTTTTTGCAGAGTCTTAAACATGTGAGGTAACTTCTCTAGCAATTCGCATCATACCCAGCATTCAGAAACTGCTAAGGGTAGATTTCAAGATGATAATCTTTAGATAGAATGCATATGCTAATGAGGTTGATCTTGCCTCTCTTCATTTGGTGATGCCAAGCACCTTACCAAAGACCAAATTTTTTCCTAATAGATAAATATTCCTAGCTTCCTCTAGCAGCTAGGAACTCAAAACTCATAGGACCACTTCTAGGAAGACTTCCTTTGTTGCATCAGCCTATGACAGAAGAGCAGAGACAGTGAGAAGGAAACCCTTGTCCTTCTTTACAGAAATCACTCACAATATCAACAATGAACTATTGATGAATCCTGAGCCTAGTCCTGAGCAATCCCTTCCTAATAAGCCCACCACTTTTCTGTATTTTTATTTGTTTATTGTGACCTAGAGACTCACTGTGTTGCCAAAGCTGGCCTCTTACTCACAATCCTTCTATAGCTTCCCAAGTGGCTGACAACAAGGACAAGCCCTTGCATTATTATTTTAATGAGTGTCTATTAATTGACATAGTCCTCTGGTATGTTATAGCATTTCAATATGTGTATACAGCATGGGATGATCAAGTCAGTGTCATTGACATATTTATCATCCAGACATATACCATTTTGTGCTGGTGCTAGAAATATTAAAATGCATTGTTGCTGGCTAATTTGAAGTATTCACTTACTTATTTCCAGTGTCCTGCTATATTATTGGGACCCATCTTACCATTATTATATTTGAGATTAAGTCATCAAGTCGGTTTTGTGGTGCACCTTCAAACCCATGATCCATAACATAAATACCATAAAGTATATATTTTATGTTACAAATTGTTCTTTAAAAACATATTGTATACACAATCAATATGAACAAATCTGTCCTTGAAAATGACTCAATACTATTTTTCTGCATTATTAATGTGAGAAGTCATTTCAACAAGTCCAAACAGCAACAAAGTTGAAAAATTAAAAATCATATGACACTGCTGCTCGGCTCCATGTTCTCTCTGATATTCAGTCCTAGCCTCTAATTGTTAAATATGTGGATCCAAGTGGGTGTGGACATAAGTAAAGAATAGACAACCAAAAAGGAGACCCTGTAACTGGAAAAAGAAAAGTTTTAAAGAGAGGGGTCTTCCATACCCACAATGGAACAATGTGGAAGGTGGGGACCAACAGCTATGGCAGGAAGAGGAAGGGATGAGGAAGACAGGAGGTAGGAGTGGACAGAATCATCAAAAATGAAATTATGTATGAAAGTACCATGTGAAAATTCATTACCTTGTAAGCTAATTTAACAATCAAAAAATGAAGTATTTTTAAATGCAAAAAAAAAAAAATCACCTGTAAATCATTGTGGCAAATTGACTCTCAATCACTTCAAGACTCTAATCATACCTCTGATTCTGGAGCCTGGTAAGTAGTGAAAGAACTTCCCAGCCAAGGGCTACATTACACAGCATGCCATGTAGTTTAATGGGGCCAAGTGGCAGGACTCTAACAAGTGGAGTATTAAAGGAAGTTATATGCACTCCTGGTTTGATTCATATAAACTTCCCCTCTTATAGTATATTGTATTTGAATCATTTTCCATTAGCCCCGAGGGATGACTTTGAAGCTGTGTGTAGATGATAACAGAGGTGCCTTTAGCACATAGGTGAAGAATGGGCATATCTCAAATCTTTTTGTTTACCTCTATTAACAGATGTTATGAAACTTAGCTGTGGCTTGGGGGATGACTCAGTGAATAAGAGCACTTGCTTTGCAAACATGAGGACATGAGTTCAAATCTGCAACAACCACATAGAAGTTGGACATGCCTGTAAGTGCCTAGTGCCTACAACCCCAGCACTATGGAGTTGGGGAGGCTGGTACATCTGAAAAGCTCTCTTGTCATCCACACTAGCCAAAATAGCAAGCTCTCAATTCAGTGAGAGAATGTCTCAATGCAATAAAGAGGACACAACAGATACCTGAAACCTTTCTCTGGCTACTACGTTCATACACATAACTGCTCACACTGGTACCATCATGTCTATGCACTACACACAAACACCAAATAACACCAAGAGCATTGTCAGATAACATGACTGTTAGGAATGCTCTCAGTTCCAAAATGGCCAAATATGCAAACTCCTTCAATTCTACACAGAAAATGAGCTGAAATTTTCATTCTGCATTTCCTCCTAGCATCTCTATAGATGAACCCCTCTCTTCATATTTGCTCAGGACAAGATGGCTATGACTGATTATGACAATGGAGTAACTTGATGTGGTCACCAACCTTAGGCTCAGTTCTGTTGATGCCTGTGAGGAAGAGGAGATCAGCCAGGAAGAGGCAAATGGAGAGCTGCAGGTGGAGTGTGGTGCTGGTGTTCTGGATGGGCCGGCACAGGAGAAAGGTGACAGCCGCCAGGAATAGGCACAAGAGAGAAAGACTCAGTCCCACATAGGTGATCACAGAGAGTGCAGAAAGCACAGAGTCCTCCTACAAACCACAAAGGAATACTTCAGAGTCTCCATATCTATATAACAGTTACCATGAACATCAAAACTAGGAATCCTGGGAGCTTGCCAAGTCTTGTTATCTGTTGTACTATCAATGTTGAGATTAGTGCTTAGCACATGCTATTCACTTAATAAATATTAGCTAAATTAAACATGCATATGGAAGTCCATAGCGTGATGGACATCGAATAGTAAAATATTAATAAACAGGAGCTAATGTGAAATGGGGGAATGCAAATTTAAATTACAGACAAAAAGCCATATGTGTTAAATATTCTACAAGACTAACTTACTGACTGAAACCTGTGACTGCAGAGTTGGAGCATTGCAGAATATCAGTAACATTATTATAGTTGTCTTTAGCCCTGTTTGTTACTTAGTATCCTTATGCATATTCTGTAAATCCTTTTGAAATACACAAGGAGACCCCTAACTTCCACCCAAAGGCTCAAAATGTCATCAGCATTGAGGCTGTACCAGATTTCCCAGCTTCCTGTGATCCCCCTATCTGATGTTCCACAATTGTGTTTGAATTGACTTTATCCATAATTTTCTTTGTTCTCTTACTATAAAAACATGGTATGTAGAGTAATCAGGACCTGTTTCCCTGGGTCATTGTCAGTGATATTTGGCCCTTGAACAATTAATTTTATTTCCTATGAAATGGGAGCTTTGGTGATTTTGTTATTTGATGTGGTTAGGACGCCATTAGGTGAGTTCCTTCAACTTAAATAACCTGAGACCTAGCTCACCTCTTGAAATTCTAGGGAGCCATGCTGTATCTTTGATGATAGCCAGTTGACTTAGTTTAGAGAAAATTTGGGTATAACTATCTTGAAAGTGTAGCAATGTGTCCAATTCCAGATCCCCTTGGCCCTACCTCTTTGGAGTCTGATAACCTCACTTCGAAACATTTGAGGGTTTTCCTTGATTGTCATGCTTACTCCAGGTACACTTATGGAAGACTCAGAATTTCCTCTGTTTTGCTTAACCCATCTACCAGATGTTTACACCATTGTGTTGTGTTGTGTTGTGTTTTGTTTTTAAATGACTTGAGTCATGATTTTGTTTTTCTGTTACTATAAAGTCTTCATGAAATGCTACCACTAAGCCGAGCAGAAATAAAATTACTGAAGAAAGGTCATGTGCCATACCAAAGTTCCACCATTCTTTAGTTACAGTAACCTTGAACTGTGTGTTCTGCACTGATTCCAAGCATTTTTCAGGGATGCTATAGGCCCCATATACCCAAGTGGTAATTAACTCATAAATACTGTATGCATTGCCACTCATACTTTTCCCATTTTGTCTCTACAGTCCACTACTGTTATTTCTTGAGAGTTTGTTCAACAATTTTATCAGGGGAATGAAGCTACCCATGTACCTTTGCAGGGGTTCAGAAGTAAAATGTCCCCATTGGCTTGTGTAAAATGTCAACATTTGTTCTCCAGTTGGTGGGTGTACTTGGGGGAAGTTACAGAGCCTCTAGGAGGTACAATCTCTCCAGAAGGTGTATGTCTCTCTAGGAAGGTATTGAGGGTTTATAACTATTCTCCATTCTCCCTCCTCTTTTTTGTTCTCTGCTCCTGTCTGTGGACAAAACATGATTTCTCGTCTTCCTGCTTCTGCTATGATGCCACACTTTCTGTGCCATAATGGATGCCATCCCTGGGAACCATACAGCAAAATGAACCTTCTTTAGATGACTTCATTCACAGTATTTTGTTCCAGTAACAGTAAAGTAACTAACAAAACATTTGAGAAAAGTATGGCTCTCCTCTTTCATGGATGGTCACCATCTTAGACCAGCCATGTAGCTTCAGGAGGATGCACATGGGAGAGACAGTCTGGAGGAGCGAGGAGGACACATTCCTAGCCAGTCGATCCCTGGCAATCAGTATCTCAACAGGACATCAGTGAGATAACAGAGGTGGCAACAAAATCACACTCATTTTGTTCTTATGGGTGTTTCTTGGAATCATCTCTCATCAAACCTACAGCCAATTAACTTTTATAGACATATATTAAAGTGAACATCATTTTCATGGTCAAGACCTGCAAAACTTGATACCTCGAAGGGTAAAGCCATGAGCACAGCAAAGCTGGACAGGTGGAAACACTTGCAGATGGTATAGGAGTCGTTTGTGCGCACGTGAGAACAGCCCTTAGTGGACCAGCTGCCCCCTTCCTCTGATTGTTCCCAGTGGACACAGAGATGGTTTGCTCTTGGGTCAATGGGCTGCAAAGAAAACAGTATGAAAGAACATGATTTTTTTCATAATTCCAACTTCTATTTATCTTTAATTAGGCTATTGACATTGGCTTGCATATGTGATTTAATAATTTCCCTTCTAATGTTCCCCTCTAACCCTTCTCAGCCCTTACCTTTCCTGGTCCTCCTGGCTTTGCTGCACTTCCACATTGTATCTCCACTTAGATTAATATGACACACACTGGACTGAGAAAACACATGTGGGAACATTTCACATCCTCTCATCTCTCATAGATTTTGTTTAGTCATTTATTCTGTCTCTGTGCATATCTCAGTGCCCTGTGCATTGACTTAGAACTGACTTACCAGTTTCTTGTCACTGATGAAATGAATGATGGGCAGTTGTGAGAGGTCAGTGCTTAAAGAGAGACGTCAAGTGTTTTTTCACCTGCCTTTCTGCTCCAGGCTCCCGCTGGAAAAGCCCAGTCCCTCTTTCCTACCTCTGACTCTCAGTATGCTCAACAATGCCCATTGCCCAAATGCCTACTTCAGATTCAGCATGATAATCGTCTCTCTTTGTGTAAGTACACAGGTGATTTAGCACTTCGTTCCCAGCCTTCTGGAGGTGCCATTCAAACAGAAAATTGTATATGTTTAAGTTGCAGGATGTACCCAGAGATGTATGCAGTATAAAAGGAATACTAATGTACTGGCTGGTTTTGCATGACAACTTGACACAGCTGAAGTCATCAGAGAGGAAGGATCTTCAATTGAGGAAATGCCTCCATGAGATCCAGCTGTAATGCATTTTCTCAATTAGAGATCCAGCCCATAATGGGTAGATAGTGCCATCCCTGGGTTGGTAGTCCTGGGTTCTGTAAGAAAGCAGTCTAAACAAGCCATATGGAAGCAAACCAGTAAGTCTCACTCATCCATGACCTCTCCATCAGCTCTTGCATCCAGGATCTTGTCCTGTTTGAGTTCCTATCCTGACTTCCTTCAATGATGAATAGTGCTGTGTAAGTGTAAGCCAAATTTTGCCACAGCCAATTGAAACCCCAAGATAAGAACCAAGCTAACAAGCATATCCACCACCTCCCAATTTAGCTTTAGTGATGGTATTGGAGATCTACTCTACTTGTGGCAATTAAAGAAAAAGAGACCAGGAGAAAGAGAAAGAGAAAAAAGGTGGCGTATATGAGGGGGTGTGGAAGGGAGTAAAGAGAAGGAGGGAAATGAGGTAATTCTATTTTAATTGAAAAAATGACAGAATGTTGTCACACTAACTTCTTCTAGGTTGAAGCATTCCATCCTTGAAATTCAAGAAGTGCTCAATTCAGATATGCTCACCACTATACCACTAATGCCCGCTAAGTGTGCAATTAAGGACTCTCCAGCAATTCGTAATTTACAAAGTCCCATTCTTCCTTAAGGAAGAATGTGAGAACAGCTGAAGAAAGGAAATTCTTTAACCCTTTAGAGTTGCCTATAAGGTATGTAGAGATCTCATGGCTTCCAGGTTTCATGAGTTCTCAGCCATACTGGGATGGTCCTTTTGGTGAGGAAGCTGTCTTTCAGATATCTGTGTTCCTGAGAGTAGCCGCTCACTCTTAGCTAACAATTTCATTGCTTCACTAAATTGGAATTTGGTGGCATGGTTACTTTGCTGTTATGGGTTCTGTATCTGGGCTGAACAGATATTTATACTCATCTCTCCAGGAAATGTGTCCCACAACAGAACAAAAATACATTAACATGATGGGGGGCAGCAAGAATGTAATCTCAATACATTATACAAATGTATAATATGTCATTATTTAACCTATTGTCATGTATAGTTAATTTCTATTAACAAAACTTTTAATCATCACAATATTCACTCCTTTTTTATTGCTATTACACATTAAGGCTCCAAAATGTTATAACTTAAAGTTTGATTTCCCATTTTCCACAAAACTGATCTCCAAGTAGGCTCTATTGCACAGAAACTATGAATGCTACTGTTTAGAGTTCCAGTGTGAGTGAGATCATAATGGCAAGATATTTTCTTTTCTGTTTTTTATTACTATTTTTGCTTTTGGAACTATATTATAATCACATCATTTTCTCCTGTGTTGACTACATCTGTAATTTACTAAAACCCAAGACTTTTGGATCATACATATTAGGGGTTTCTCTTGGTTGCATTATTTAAGGTCTGAGGATTCACCCTAAATCCAGTTCATTTGAGGTCAGAAGACACCCTCATAAATCTCAGCCACACCTTCTTATTGGAGCCCACATAAAAAGGAGGTGGAAGAAGAAGGTACTATTTTTTGCCTGTTTACTCTCACTTTCTCTGGCAAGTTCGCCTATCCTAATGATGAAGCATTCCTTCGCTGGTATTAGAATATAACTTCTTGGAGCACTGGGACAGAGGGTGGAGCCAACAATCCAGGCACCTTCAGGGAACTACCTGCAGCTGCTCTGAGCACAATAGACCTGCCTATCCAAGTGGGAACACCCACATTTCCACCTGCCTGGTCTCTGACCCCTGCCTCCTCTATCCCTCTACTGGAGTTCCAAGCCCCTCCCAGAGATCTGCCTATCTCCTCAGGGCATCTCTGAGTACCTGCAGGCTGGATCCTTGAGCAGCTCCATCACAGAGCCACTGTCAAAGAGGCCTCAGCTGGAGAGTGCCAGGCCCAACCTAGATCTGCCTATCAGCTTAAGGAACATTCTGAGTACAAGCCTTCGAGATCTTTGGCTCCCATCCCCAGTCTGCTTGAGCCTAATCTTTGATCCCCATCGCCAGGCCCCTGCCTGTGGAGAGACCTCCTAGAGAGCTTGGACCACCCAAACCTACAGCCTGTGGAGAGACCTCCTAGAGAGCTTGGACCACCCAGACCTACAGACATGGAATCTCTGTCTCACCTAAGCCCACCAGGAAAATACCATAGAGAGAGGGAGAGACATCACCAACACCTACTGGAAGAAGCTATGGGAAGACAGAAATACAAGAAAACAACTAAAAACAGAAAGACAAGCATAACACCACCAGAATCTAGGGTATCTACTCCAACTAGGCCGGAACACAACAAAGCAGATTAAGCAGAAGATAAGGACTTAAAAATTATCGTCATTAAAATGATAGAGGCCCTCAAAGAAGATGTGAGAAAATCCATTAAAGAAATGGAGGAAAAAACAAACAAAAAATTGGAAGAAATGAACAAATCTCTTAAAGAAAGTACAGAAAGCCAAGAAAAAAACAATTAAACAGGTGAAGGAAACAGTTCAAGACCTGAAAACTGAAATAGAGACAATAAGAAAACACAAACTGAAGGAATGCTGGAAATAGAAAAACTGGGCAAAGGATCAGGAGCTACAATGCAAGCATAACCAACAGAATACAAGAGATGGAAGAGAGAATCTCAGGCACAGAAGATAAACTAGAGGAAATAGATCCATCAACCAAAGAAAATCATAAATCCTAACACAAAACATCCAGGAAATGTGGGACACAGTGAAAGCAAAACATAAGAATAATAGGCGTAGAGGAAGGTGAGGAAGCCTAGATCAAATGTGCCGAAAACATATTCAACAAAACCATTGAGGAAAACTTTCACAATCTGAAGAAGGGCATGACTATGAAAGTACAAGAAGCATACCGAACACCAAATAGACTGAACCAAAGAAAAAAGACCCCTCAACATATAATAATTAAAACACCTAACGTATAGAATAAAGAAAGAATATTAAGAGCAGAGAAGGAAAAAGGACAGGTAACATATAAAGACAGACCTACTAAAATTACACCTGATTTCTCCATGGAAACCCTCAAGACCAGAAGGTCCTGCATATGTTCTGAAAGGACTAAGGGTCCACAGATGCCAGCCCAGGCTACTATACCCAGCAAAACTCTCAATCAGTATAGATGGAGAAAACAAGATATGTAATGACAAAGCCACATGTTCCCAATACATATCTACAAAACCAGCCCTACAGAAAGTTTTGGAAGGAAAACTCCAACCCAAGGAAGTTCACTACGCTCACTCACAAAGATGTAGGAAATAGATAATCTCACTATACCAGAAACCAAGGGTAAAGCTGGAAAAGTATATTAACAATACAACTGAGACCAACATATCTAAAACAAACAATCATTAACAATCAATGGTCCTTACTCTCCCTAAACATTAATGGTCTTAACTCACCTTTAAAAAGACACAGGCTATTACAGACTACAGCCAGGATTTCTGAATCTTCTTCGAATCCCCCCATGACAGCGCCCCTTACCAGCAGGAAGTAGTTTGGAAAGAACAACACCCAAATTCCCAAATATTGTCTATAAATGTTTGTTTTCATTTAAATGGACTTTGTTATATAAAATAAATTTAAAAAATTTAAAAAAATAAAAATAAAAATTTAATCCAGAAAAAAAAGACACAGGCTAACAGAATGGATACATCCTTCTGCTGCATACAAGAAACATATCTAAGCTTCAAAGATAGATATTACCTCAGGGTAAAAGGCTGGGAAAGATCTTCCAATCAAATGGACACAAAAAGCAAAGAGGTATGGCTATCCTAATATCTAACAAGTTAGACTTCAAACCAAAATTAATCCAAAGAAATGAAGACAGTCATTTTGTATTCATCACAGGAGAAATCCATCAACACAAAGTCTCAATTCTGAACATCTATGCCCCCTAATACAAAGGCACCCACATTTGTAAAAGAAACACTACTAAAACTCAAACCTCACATAAAACCTCACACACTTATAGTGGGAGACTTCAACACACCACTCTCACCAGTAGACAGGACCACCAATTAGAAACTCAACAAAGAAACAAAAGAACTAACAGAAGTTATGTCTCAACTGGGTTTAACAGACATCTATAGAACATTCCATCCAAACACAAAAGAATATACCTTCTTCTCTGTTCCACATGGGATGTTCTCTAAAATTGACCACATACTAGATGGTATAACAAACTTCAACAGATACAAGAGAATAGGAATAGTCCCCTGTATCTTATCGGACCACCATGCTTTAAAATTGGAATTCAACAACAACACAAATCGCAGAAACCCTAAAACTCATGGAAACTGAACAATGTGCAATTGCACCACACCTGGGTCAAAGAAGAAATAAAGAAAGAAATTATGGGCTTCCTAAAATTCAACGAGAATGAGGATACAACATACCCAAACTTATGGGACTCCTTGAAAGCAGTGTTACAAGGAAAGTTCATTTCACTAAGTGCCCATATGAAGAAAACAGAGGATAGTCACACTAGAGAATTACCAGCACAACTGAAAGCCTTAGAACAAAAAGAAGCAAACTCACCCCGGAGGAGTAGAAACCAGAAAGTAATCAATTTGAGGGCTGAAATCAATAAACTAGAAACCAGGAAAACAATACAAAAAAATCAATGCAACAAAGAGTTGGATTTTTGAGAAAATCAACAAGATAGACAAACTTTTACCCAAACTAACTGAAAAGCAGAGACAGAACACGCAAATTAACAAAATCAGAAACAAAAAGGGGGACATAACAATGGACACAGAGGAAATCCAGACAATTTTCAGGTCATACTTTGAAAAACTGTACTACACAAAATTTTAAAATTCAAAGGAAATAAACAAATTTCTGGATAACTATCACTTACCAAAATTAAATCAAGAACAGACAAACAAATGGCCCAGGGCCAGATGGCTTCAGTGCAGAATTCTACTATAAATTCAAGGAAGAGTTAATACCAATACTCCTCAAATTGTTCCACACAATAGAAAAAGAAGGTTCATTACCAAACTCTTTCTACCAGGCCAAAATCACATGGTACCCAAATTCACAAAGACACAACTAGAAAGAAAACTACAGACCAATATCCCTGATGAACATCGATGCAAAAATACTCAACAAAATACTGGCAAACTGAATCCAAAAAATACATCGGAGAAATCATCAACCATGACAAAGTAGGCTTAGTCCCTGGATTGCAGGGATGGTTTAACATATGACAGTCTATCAACGTGGCCCACCATATAAACAAACTGAAAAAGAAAAAAAAAACATATTATCATCTCCCTAGATGCAGAAAAAGCCTTTGACAAAATTCAACACCCTTTCATGTAAAGGTCTTGGAGAGATCAGGGATAACAGGAACATACTAAACATAATAAGAGCAATATAAAATAAACCAACAACCAACATCAAACTGAATGGAGAGAAGCTTAAGATGATTCCTCTAAAATCAGGAACAAGAAAAGGCTACCCTCTCTCTCCATATCTCTTCAATATTGTACTTGAAGTTTATATGATTTCCATATGAAGTTGATAAAACAGCTAAAAGAATACAATGGGGGGAGGAAAGCATCTTCAACAAATGGTGCTGGCACAATTGGATGATGGTGTGTATAAGACTGCAGATAGACCCATGTCTATTGCCATGCACAAAACTCAAGTCCGAATGAATCAAAGACCTCAACATCAATCCAGCCACACTGAACCTCTTAGAAGAGAAAGTAGGAGGTACCCTTGAACAAATTGGCATAGGAGATTGCTTCCTGACCATAACTCCAGGGGCACAGACACTGAGAGCAACAATTAATAAATGGGACTTCTTCAAACTTAGAAGCTTCTGTAAGGCAAAGGACACAGTGGACAAGACCAAACGGCAGCTCACAGACTGGGAAAAGATTTTCATCAATCCTATATCTGACAAAGGGCTGATCTGCAAAATATACAAAGAACCCAAGAAACTAGTCAACAAAACACCAAATAACCCTATTTAAAAATGGGGTACAGAACTTAAGAAAGAATAGAGGAAATCAAAAAGACACTTAAGAAAGTGTTCAATATCCTTAGCTATCAGGGAAATTCAAATTAAAACAACTTTGAGATACCATCATACTCCTGCCAGAATAGCTAAAATTAGAAACACCAATGACAACTCATGCTGGAGAGGATGTGGAGAAAGGGAAGCACTTCTCCACTGCTAGTGGGAGTGCAAACTCATACAGCCATTTTGGAGATCAGTATGGCGGTTCCTCAGGAAAATGGGAATTAGTTTACTACAGGACCCAGCAATCCCCCTCTTAGGCATATACCCAAATGATCCACATCCATAAAACAAAGACATGTGCTCAATTATGTTCATAGCAGCATTATTTGTAATAGCAAGAACCTGGAAGCAACCTAGATGCCCCTCAACTGAAGAATGGATAAAGAAGATGGGGCACATCTACACAATGGAATAGTACTCTGCAGAATAAAATAATGGTATCTTGAAATTTGCAGGCAAGTGGATGGCACTTGAAGAAACCATCCTAAATGAGGTAATGCAGTCACAAAAAGAGGGACATGGTATGTACTCACTCATATATGGATTTTAGACCTAGAGCAAAGGATCACCAGCCTATAATTCACATCACCATAGGAACTAGGATACAAGGTGTATTCTGAGAGATTCAGATAAGGTCCCTCACCAAAGTGGGAAGGGACAAGTCCCCCACAGCACATAAGAAGTGGGGGAGGCAGTGAATGGAGAGAGAATCATGAGAAAGAGAAGGAGAGGAGAGGATAGCATGCGACTGGGAAGATTGAATCAGGTTAGGAATAGAGGACAGCAGAGAGAGAGAGAGAGAGAGAGAGAGAGAGAGAGAGAGAGAGAGAGAGAGAGAGAGAGAGAGAACATAAAAGAGGGAGCCAGCCATTATTGGTGTGAAGAAAAAATTGAACCTAAAGAAATGTCTAGAGACCTACAAGGCTGACTCCAACTAACAATTTGAGCAACAGTGGAAAGGCTACCATAAATGCCCTTCTCTGAAGTGAGATCAAAAACTCATTTATCCACCATCATGGAACCCTCATCTATTACCTGTTGGAAACAGAAGCAAACACTGATACCTAAACACTGAGTCAAAATAGAATCCAGATGCAGAGAGAGAGGTCAAGACCAGGTTGCAGAAACACATACAGGCAGCTGACCTGAACAAGGAAGAGCTAATGGGACCCCAGAATGATAGCTGGGAATCCAACATGGGACTGACTCAGACCCCCTAAATATGGCCTCAGCTAGAAGGTCTGAGCAGTCTAAGGGACCTCAGACAGTGAAACCAGGATGTATTCCTGGTGCACAAAAGGACCTTGCGGACACATTCCCCATGGAAGGACACTCCCTTAACCTAGGGACAGGAGAGAAGTCCTAGTCCCTACTTCAAATGACTTGACAGATTTGTATGCCACCTGGATGGCATAACCCTACATGTGGAATGAGGGTGGGGGTATGGGAGGGGAGGGTGGTCATGGTGCATGTGAGGGGGGAATAGAGGATAAGATGGAGGGAGGGAGGGAGAGCAAAATGGGATAGACATGTAAAATAATATATATATATATCTTCTTCAGGCCCCCAACATAGACCGAAGACCAGCATCTTGGACTTCATCACCAAACCAGGATTGCTCAGATATCTGGTCTTAAATGAACAACTAATTGACCTGGATCCTTAGCCTTTCTGTCATTCTATTATTTCTGTACTTTTAAAGAAGTCTGACTAATATTTCCTCTTTCCCTTTCCTCCCTCCAAACATTCCCAGGTATGCTTGCTTGCTCTCTTTCAAATTTCTGACCTCCTTTTTTCATTAATTATTGTTACATCTCTCTCTCTCTGTCTCTGTCTCTCTCTCTCTCACATACACAGACTTTTCCTAAGTGCAACCTCCTAAGTCTATATAATGTTGCTTGTATGATTATTTTCAGACCTAACCATTTGACATTATATAACCTAAAGCAACATGATATTTTATTATAGTTTTCATATGTTATTTATACACCCTGCCATGAATGAATGTAAGCACCCACCCCACCCAAGTCCTAGCTACAGTGACTAATGTTACTGGAATTAGGCAAATACAGGCTCTTTCTAAAACCTTGGTTTCTTTCTTTGGATGTATGCAATAGGATGATTGATGAATTCCATTGCAGTTTCTTTTCTCATTTTTCATAGGTTCTATATTGTTTTCTTAGTGGCTATATATTCCCAACTACATTGTGCAATGATTTCCTATTTTCTACATTCCTATCAATACACCCACTTAAAATATTAAAAATTACATAATTTCTATTGAATGTCCTCTTCACAGTTCCATTCACAGTTCCATATTCAAATTAGTTGTCCCCTCACCCTCTTTAATCTCACTCAAAGCCTCACTAACTCTAGCTTTCTAAAATTCCTCTTCCAACATTAATGTCTTTTGTTTTGTTTCAGTTGCCACTGAATTTAAATAGGACCATCTGTGTAACCAAAGGGTTGAAGTGCTCATTTGAACCTAGGGGCAAGTGAAAACATTGTCTTCCTTGATTGAATCCTTCCTTTGTTGAAGATGGTGGCCTGTGGCCTGCTTTCTGAACCATGGATGATTGACCGTTGATATGAAAATTCAGATAATAGCAGTAATGAAGTTACACAGAATTGAAGTTTCTCAGCATTTTGTAATTTCTCTTACTTTTCAATGATCACTCCTTCTAGAAATTTGACTAGACCACCTGCCTCTTCAAACATTTCACAGAAGGGAGGATATCTCAGAACTTAAGATAATTAACTGCTCTTAGAGAGGAACCAAGTCCCATACCCAGCATCCACATTGTGTCACATAACTGTCTGGAAGTCTAGATATAAGAGAGCTGATACTCTTTCTGTCTTCTGTGGGCACTATTTGCTCATGTGCACAGATGTCCATGCAGGCAGAACACTCACGTTCATGAAATAAATCTAAACTTTAAAATTGTTTTTAAAGAACATTTAGAGAGTAAGCTCACCTGAGTGTTTTGTAAAGTTAGGAGAACAGGTTCAGACAGGACAGGTTTGACTTCTGAATGAATGGCGCCACTCACAATAAGAGAGTTCAATTTTACTTCCTTAATCCCTTCGTTGTTAAAAAATGATCCATTTAGATACTTCCCAAGGGACTGATATGCAATAAGAGCAACTGCAGTCTCATCTGAGGAAAAAGAAAAAAGAAATAATACTAGAGATTTGACACACAAATGTCTTACATGTGGACCATGAAGTAAACATAGTGTTTTTAGTAAAATTACCCATGGGCACCCATTAAATTGCACATATAATACATTTATATGTAGTGTTAGGCACGGAATTTCTCACACACACACACACACACACAAATGTATATTTGTACATGTATGTAGACATATACAAAAAGACAGAGAGAGAGGGAGAGAGGGAGAGGACACTATGTGCTGGCTAGTATTATATCAACTTGACACAAGCTATAGTAATTGAAAAGGAGAAAATGCCTCCATAAGATGGGCTGTAGGTGAGACTGTTGGGCATTTTCTTAATTAATGATTGATGTGGGAGGGCCCAGCCTATGATGGATGGTAGCATCCTTGGGCCTATATAAGAAGGCAAGCTGAGCAAGCTGTAGGGAGGAAACCAATAAGCAGCATCCTTCTTAGCCTCTGCATCAGCTCCTGCCTTCCATTCATGGTCCTTCCGTGTTTGACTTCCTTCTCGGACTTCTGTTACCTGAAATGTAAGTGAAATAATTCCTTTCCTCCCCAAGTTTCCTTTGGTTATAGTGTTCATCACAGCATTGGAGACCTAATTAAGACCACATATGTGTATATAAAATCACTGTATATTATATACGCACATTAGTGTATATGAGTGTGTGTGTGTGTGTGTGTGTGTGTGTGTGTGTGTGTAAAACACGGTTAGCAATTACCTGTGCTTCAAAGCATAAACAGAGTAAGAAAAAATGCATTACCACCTTATACCTCAAGTTCCCTCAAGATTATCTAATTATTCATTCTCATGCCCTCTCCACTCTTCTCTATCAATATATACATACATTCCTTTCCTCTTTATATTTATCTCCCTTCTTTCCTAACCTTTTCTCTCTTTTATCCCTCCTTTCTTGACCCTCCTATTTTCCTCTCTCTCTTCTTCCCATTTTCATGGAATTAGAAGATAATTTTAAAAGTTAAATACATGAATTGCAATTATTCATGTGTTGTTGTTATCTTACAGTGTGCAGGTTTTACTATATTATAGAAATCATATTTTTGATCCCATGTAAAATTAAAGTTATGCATGTTTATTTAATGACATTTTAGATAGTGAATTGTTTTATAACCCCAGAATAAAACTGATTAACACTGTAAATATTAAACTAGTTTTTCTTGATGCTCATATATTTATGGCAAAAAAAAAGTACCCAGAACCACTTGTCTAGTCAAACAGTAACTCCCCTAGTGGTGTAGAGATTCCAGTAGAAAAGAAAAGATGGAATCTATTTATTGAATGATGTTGGGAGGTTCAACTCAGAACAGCATTCCCATCACTGAGATAGACGAGCCTGTATGTGGTACACTCCTATTAGGATATGAATCACAATGCAGGGAAGTTAGAATGGTTAGAGAATGTTTTTCCAAATGTAAAAATGCAAAGCAGCAGGACCCCCATCCCAGTCATGCCAAAGCACAGAATGATGCTTTTGGGGGAGACTCTGACCTACTTCCTGTTTAAAACTAAAGTCTGTCACCACCTCCGCTATCATTTACTACATTTTAAAAAGTCAACTCATCGGCAACTGGAGAGATAACTCAGCAGTTAAGAGCACCAGTTGCTCTACTATAGGTCCTGGGTTCAAGTCCCAGAAACCACATGGTAGCTCACAACCATCTATGTTATCTGATAGCCTCTTCTGGCACAACGATAGACAGACAGACAGACAGAGCACTCATAACACAAAATATTTGGAAATCAGCTCATTATTAGAACTTTACCCTCCTTGGATTGAAAGATTTCAGTTAATAGTGATGATACGAGAATATTAGGAATTTGTCAAGTAAATACAGCAAGAATACCTCTCAAGATAACCAGATCTTTCTATTTGAAACTGTTTTTTATGTATTTTCCCTCTTTTCTTCCTTCCTTCCCCACTATATTTCTCCCATTTTTCATCAAATATTTATTGAAGCCTGTTCTCTGTCTTTGCGTAGGAAGTTTGACTGATGCTACCATGACCCTTGATCAGCATACCACTATGCCTTCATTTAAAAAAAAATAGGAAATTTGAATAGTTATGACAAAAAAAGTTCTACAGTGTTTTCCATATGGTCTTTTAAAAAAATGAGTTTGCCAAAAATAAAGTGTTTATGAAACAAATTTCAGAAGCAATAGTGGTCAAGATAATGATTGCCTGGCACCATTGAAATTTAAGGATGATAGACTATCATACTAAAATGTGACAAGCCTATCCCTTGTCAGAAAGCACAGCAGTACAACTCTGCTCTTACATTAGTGTCTGCTGCAAAATATGCTGTTCTTGTAAGAATTCCTTAACTTTGTCTCTGGATGTATCTAATCAGTAGTCAAGGAAGATCTTTTCTACCTACTGTCAGAGTACCTCTGCCTTGGAAACTGAGTGTATGGTCCTTGACCCAGTCACTTGGAAGGAAAAAAAAATGCTAATCTTAAACATATCACCTCCACTCTTGGTTCCTTTGAGAGCATCGGCACAGTCAATCTCCATCGTGTTATTTCCAGCTTCCAGAAGAATCATACTATTGCACCTCTTGGTTTCATATACTGAAAGTAATGACAAAGTAAGTTCTTCCACACGTATAGCAATATTACTAATGGTGATGATGATGTTTTCTAGGAAATTCCTATATTTGGAAGTCTGATTTTTATATGCTTTTTGCCAATCTGGGAAAGTTGGAACACTAAGAGGATGATTATCCACTAGTCATTAATTCTTTGATTGTAAAATGTCTCCTGATAAAGCCCTCATGGCTGAAGGCTTTGCCCTCAGTTGGTGGCTATTGAGAGGTGATTGATTGGATATTGAGATTTAACTTAATCAGATCCTTTATGTGACAGAAGAATAGGGGCTAGAGAGAGCTACATAAATATTAGCATATATAAGAAGCTGGAATGCAAAGAGGATTGAACACCCTTCCCCTTCTGAGCATTTTAAAAAAAAGAATATACATACCTGGGACCAGTAGGGTTGTATAAACACTCTACAATATATCATGGGCCTCATTACCTAGGGCTTTGGGGTTCATTTTGAGGCCTGTAGCATCACCAGCTTATTTATCTATACAGATAAATGGCATTTTTGTAAGATTCTAGATACTAGTGGGTCAATTGGAAGAGAGAAGTCACTGTAAGTTTGCATCTGAAATGCACAGTTTGTCCATTGTTCTTTCTGCCTTCTGCTCAGCATTCGGTAGTTAAATGATTTCTGTCTCACTGCACATGGACAAATGTCATGTTGGCTTTGGCAACAGAGTGAATGAAAATCTGTGACCCAACCACATCCAAGCCAGTCAGGTAAACCTTTCATGCCTGATGTGGATTTGCTTAGGTACTCTGTCATGGTTATGAAATGTGACTAACTCATCCTTAATTCTCCAGTGTGTGTGGAGAGTGCTACTCATGTGGTAGTTTCATAAATTAAGCCTTCAATTCCAGGTAATAACAGATTCTATTCTTCATAGGCCATGAGTATACCAGGCAGGACTCAATTCTCTTTATTGTGCTGTAATAAGTCAACTTGGTATTTCTTACCTATTCCCAATGAAGAATTTTCACCCTTTGTTGGCACAGCTGAGTTTTCATTCAATACATGGAGTTCCACTTGGTGAAATACTTTGGTAGCTGTTTTTGCAAAGTTCTTTTTTGATTCATGTCTATTCAATTCTCCCTTTCAAAAAATACAGCCAATTATATGGATTCTTATCAAAATTTAAGGAAGAAAGAATGTGACTAAGTTTTGCTGGCTGGTTCCAGAAGCCAACAACATTAACCATTGTGCTATGGGATGAGTGATACATTTTTGACAATTGATGTAAGTCTTTGACTAAAAGCTGAAGGACTATAAATCCACCCCAAAGAGTCTCATTTTCCATGTACATCCCATTGCAGTTAATTCGCAGTGGTAGAAGGTCATCATGGACATATTAGAAGAGTGAGGCATGTCACAGTCATACATCTTTTATGAATTAGTTTTAGGTATAAAACCTCCCCGAGGGAGGAATAGACAGATGAGAGGAGACAGAGACAGAGAGAGAGAGAGAGAGAGAGAGAGAGAGACCATAAAAGAGGGAGAAAACTGAACCTAGAGAAATATCCAGAGACCTACAAGACTGATGCCAACTAACAATTTGAGCAACAGTGGAAAGGCTACCATAAATACCCTTCCCTGATAATGAGATCGATTACTAACTTATCCACCATCATAGAGCCCTCATCTAGTAGCTGTAGTAGCTGATGGAAACAAGTAAACACCCAACACTAAACACTGAGCCAAACTGAAATCCAGATGCAAAGAGGGAGGACAAGACCAGGCTGCAGTAACACATAGAGACAGCTGACCTGAACAAGGAGGAGCTAATGGGCCCCCAGACTGATAGCTGGGAATCCAGCATGGGACTGACTCAGATCCCCTGAATATGGGTCTCAGCCAGAAGGACTGAGCAGTCTAAGGAACCTCAGACAGTAGAACCAGGATGTATTCCTGGTGCACAAAAGGATTTTGGGGGCACATCCCCCATGGAGGGATACTCCCTTAACCTAGGGACAGGGGAGAAATCCTAGTCCCTAATCCAAATGACTTGATGGATTTGGATGACCCTCCTGGAAGGCATCACCCTACATGTGGAGTGGGGGGTGGTGGGAGGGGAGGGTGGTCAAGGGGCATGAGAGGGTGGGAGAGAGGGAAAGAGGGAGGGGGAGAGGGAATTGGGATTGATATGTAAAATAAAAATAAAAAAATAAATTAATATGAAAAAAGAAGAAGAAGAAAAAACCTCCCCCAGATCATGACAACAAAATTTACTATGTAGATATTTCCGGCTTTACCTGGGACAGAAGACAATATAGATTGTGGATGAGAAGTAGTCTATATTATTAACCAGAATGAGTGAGTATAGTGCTTAAGCAAGAGAATGACACAGCAAAACAGAGTAGATGATTTCCATACCCAGACGTCGTTCCACTCACCCAAATATCTGCTTGTGTTCCTATTTTCTTCCCTTTATTCACTGAAAAAAATTCACATTTTTATATGTATATATATATATATATAATTTTTCTTACTTTACTTATTGATCCCAGCTCCCTCTCCTTCCCTCCCATGTCTCCCGATCCCCCCTCCATCCCACTCCCCACCTACTCCACAGGGAGGATGAAGCCTTCCAGGAGGGATCATCAAAACCTGTCAAGTCATTTGGAGTAGGGACTTGGCCCTCCCTCCTTCTTCTAGGCTAAGGGAGTATCCCTCCATGGGGAATGTGCTCCCAAAGTCCTTTCCTGCACCAGGGATACATCCTGGTTCCACTGTCAGAGGTCCCTTACAATGTCCAGGCCTTCTAACTGACCCATGTTCAGGGGGTCTGAGTCGGTCCAATGCTGGTTTCCCAGCTATCAGTCTGGGGGCCCATGAGCTCCCCCTTGTTCAGGTCAGCTGTCTCTGTGGAGTTCTGCAGCCTGGTCTTGACCCAAAAAAATTCACATTTAAACAAATGTGGGAAACACCACATCTTGTTCACATTCATTTTCCAATCACCCTCAAGTTGGACTTTTCCTGGTTGTTCCACTGCCCCTATGTTGTTATTGTTTTTGTTGCTATTTATTTGGTTGGCTTTGGTATTTTTTTAAGAGAGAAAGAACATATACTTGAATGGGTAAGGAGAGGAAAAGATTTAAGAGAAGTTGTAAGAAGGGAAACAACATAATAAAGATGTATTTTCAAAATAATTCTCAAAAAATGTATTTCCAAAATAAATTCTCAAAAATAAATGAAAACATTCTAAAAAGTTGTAAATGTATTCTAAAGATGAATTTTAAGTTATTTCTTCTTTAATAATGTATATGTAAATTGTCTTTGTTCATATTCCATGCTGTTTTCCTTTCATATTGTTTCCTACCTCTCACCAAATCCTTTATTGTTCCCAAGCCCTTGCTACAATTGTGATATATTCTTGTTTGGCCTCAGATATGCTTTTACTGTATTAGGATTTTAGAAGGGAAACAGTACCTCCGATGTTTAGCTATCTCCTCTCAATTGAAACATAAAACTTCATAAGTAAACAAAGTTTAAAAGCCTCAAGGAAGTTTAGGAAACTTAGAAAATTCACAAGCTCCCTTCCCCCCATCCACTGGTTATTTAAGGAGTAATAATTGCTGAGGAGAGAAGATTCTCCCGTTAAATCTGATGAACTACTTTTAAAAAAAAAATGTGTTAAGGGATCCCCATGTCTGTAGTGAGCTTCAGTCCCTGTTGTGTGGGCTTGTTGATATAGCTCCCATTCATAACCTCTCAATAACACTCTTGTAAGTAACTCTAGTAAACTCACTGGCTCAGTAAGTTAGATGTGAGTAGAATCATTACTTATTTATCAATGGTGTTCAATATGTGGTGAATAGCTAACTTGTTCATATCATCCAAGAAAAGTCATACGGTACCAACAAACCCAGAAACTATTTGGAAAGCAACATCTGTGTGGCACCTGTGTTGGTGTAACAGTGTCTGGTTATTTGTGATGATAGGTGTCTGCAGAGGCAATCCCAATATGGCTACCTTTCCTCATATAATAAGACATGCTGTGCCTTCTTCCTGAAGTGGTGGTAGCATGCTCCCTGCGATGGAAGATAGGATAAGCAACTGAGGGTAAGCTGTCTGAGAGTGGAGTGTCCGTGGAAGGAATCACAATGTGGCCATCTTCTACTTGGTATGTGGTAGCATGCATCATTGATGAGTGAAGTCCTTTAAACAGTTGTAGGAATAACCACCAATCTGCTGATGGAGTAAAACATATATTATAATTCTTGAAATTAGCATATGTGAGAGGAGCCATAAGCAAGCTATGGCATCCATTGCTTGGCCATTGTTGTGTGCATAAAAAGCATGCAACTGAGTTCAGGTTTCTTCCCAGAAAGAGCTTGGAAGATAGGAGAGGAATCACACTGAGAAAGATACATTAGTCTTTTGATTTGACAGGGAAAGAAGAAAATGGAGAATGTAAGATGCAGGTGTTTGCTGGTTATTTCCTAGACCTGGCTGGATTTAAAAGTAAGAGAATATAAATTAAATCTGTGGTTAAAAAAAAAAAAAACCCTTCCTTGGATCCAAAAACTTTGGACTCATAGAAAAAAATAATGAGTAGAAGACAGCAAGATAAAATGACAGACTACAGTACCAGGTCATACTTACAATATAAAGGAAGAGAAATACACAATTCACAGTCAGACAAAACTTTTATTAATAGCTGGGTATGGAAAATAATGGTAATCATCTGACATGGATTATGGAAGACTTTTAAACAAACAAACAAACACGTAGACATTTTTATAACCTTGCTAATGAGGTTGTGAGACAGACTGGTGGATATGATCAATCTGAGTGCTGTGAAAATTAAAAATGTATTATTATTTCATATCAATCCTTGAGACAAAGAATGTATAACCTGAAAGCCCAAAAACATGTCTAATGGGCTGTCATATAAAATCTGTTGGTGACATCTGTTCATCAGCAGATAAGATCTCCTTAACACTACTGATAGAAACTTACTAGAAGAAGGGAAGTCATTGCTGAGGAAACTGGGCAATAGAGAAGTGCCATTTGATGACCAGTTAATTGGCTCTTATAGGACTGTGTTCACGGATTGCAGATGGATGTTGATCTAGCAGGTGGCTTGGGATAGACATGGGCCTTTAATGGCTTTGCTGATTCCTGTCAGCCGAATCATATATGAGGTAGAGAGGTCTTAGAGAATGTGATTTTTTATTTATTCTTCTCTCACATATTACATCCTGACCACGGTTTCCTGCCCCTGTCCTCTACTCAGTCCCCCTGTACCTCCTTGCTCGCCATTTCCCTTCAGAAAAGAGCAGGCCTCCTGGTTACTGGAATTTATAAACTGGTTCTGAAGTTGTTAAAGTAACCAATAGTGGAAGAGAAAATAGAAAAGAAGTCAGAGATATGTGTTAAGGCCACTGGATGACAAATGTGGCGGGTATGGTGCTAAGCTGGAATTCCTGGGGAGGAAATTACCAGAAAGCTAACTGTTGTGCTAGTGAGCTTCTAGATGCCTTAGAAACCCACGTGGCAGTTCAAGGAAGGAAAGATTAAGCTTGATTTGGGGCAGGTTCTTCTCCATTGTGTATATTATAAAATGTACAATGAGTGGAAAAATGTTTATCCAACCTGGGGCTGTTTGACAAGTCAGGTGCAGCTCATGGACAGGTAAGACCATAGTTCTGGTTCATAGCATGATTGCTATCACCAGCACCAGACACAGCTGGCTGAATGGAACTGAGCACCACAAGGCAGCTGAGCCAAGATATACAGCAGTGCAGCTGTTGACTGATGAGGACCAGGGACTCATAGAAGATGTCTGTGAGTAATGGAGGACAACAGAGAGCTATGTGTTCCTCCATGCTGCTGCACTGATGTTACTGAAAGCACCTCATATTGTGCTGGTTCTTGTTAGTAGTTCCTGTTTCATAAACAGGTGGTACTTACTTGGAATTAATGGTGATGGACATCTAAGGTCCTGTGCACCATCATTAAAAAGTTTCATTATGTAACACTAACCCTTGAGTGTCTTACAAGTTTGTAAAGCATCTGGAAGAACAAACAGAGCTGTTATGAGTAGGAAATGTGGCTCCAGAGGACATAGCGTTAAGTGAAAATCTTTGTGTCAGAGATGGCCTGACTCCCTGTGAATTATTGGCTATAAATGTGTACAAAGCCCCACAAATAATAAAGACTATTACCAATACCTGTGTGTTGTATGGCAGAACTTGATGGCAAACCCTATTCCTAAAAAAAACCCAAAATTGTTGGTTGAAGGACACAGATTATGTTTGTGGCATATTGGTTGCCGCACCCCCATGTAGACTGGCTTTCAAAGTAGTGGAAAGTGTTATGTGGACTGTGGAAATGTCACCAACAGTTTTATTTTACAAGAAATCCTGTATGCTATGCAACTACATGCTGGACAAGATATGCCCACTCATGCAATCATGGCATGGGAGTTATGAGTATAACTGACTGTTTTCTAGTTGGAATTAAGGTCTCCTTCACAAGGTGGAACTCACATCTGGTACTGTAAGCCACTGATAGAAATCAGGCCCCAAAGAGAGCACAGTGCTTGTTCTGTTACTAAATGTATAATTTTGGCAAATTGCCTCCCAAACATTAGTTGTTGAGAAAAACCTCTTTATTGTAGGTAGAAATATAGTGCAGAGACTTGTAACTGTGCCACACCCACAGAATAAGTCTTCTTACTATGGCAGTTATCTGATTCTCAGACATGGAGAAAGGAACAAAGATAGTCAATATCAATGTGTCCACAGCCTAGGCTTAGAGAACATTGTGGAAGAGCAGGGAGAAATAGTATTAGAGCTGGAGAAAAGGAGGATTGGGCTTTTATGGCTATTTCCTTAGAACAGAAGTGTTACATCTTGGAAGAGAGCTTGCTAAACTCATGAGTAAACAATTCCAGTCTCAGGAAGCACACGAAATTTAGATTCACAAGGCCCCTGACATGGGCTACATAGGCAGTAGTAACTTCTAGAGACAGGAAACTCTCCAGTCATCCTAGTGCTTAAACCTCAGGAAAGATCTTTCTAGGAACAAGCTTTTGTGAGTTGTCATCCATGCTGGAGTGGGATTTTTAGTGCCATCACTGACTTTTTATGATCCCTTGCCCAGAGGATAACTTCAGTAAACATATCCATTCACCAAGCTACATGGATGATGTGATTTCTCTCACCTGCTACAGGTACCCTATCTCAGGCAAACAGATGTTTGCTCATTTCCACAGTAAAAGTTGCACTGTAGAGAATCTGTCAGTTCAACAATTCAGTCAAAAGTATCCTTTGAGTAACTGTTCAAAACTAAGCAGAGCATAAAGAGACCTGGGTAGATACTAGTGAAAAACCAAGCACGCTGGTTCTACTATATTTCCAGCCTGGAAGGAAGGCCTTCTGAAAATAATTTAAAACTGCTGGCATGTTGAAGCATGCTTAAATTTCAATACCAGGGTGGTGATTGAGGAGAGTCATAAGTTCTAGGGAATACTGAGTTACCTATCAATAGCTTGCCTAAACACAAAGACATTACACACAAAGCAAACATGAAACTATCTTGTCAGCACCCATGTGAGTAAGCATAATAGTAGGCACTGCCTCAATTCAGGGTCCAGATAAACCTATACGTTTGAGAATCTTGATTGACTCCAAGAGACAAATGTAGATAGCTCAGCTAACCCATGCCTAGACCTCTAATCATAGAAAGTGTTCAAAAGTAGGATTATTTCTTGTTTTATTCTATTGAATTCTTAGACAATTTGTTATTTCGAATGTTTAAGTAGCATAGTTGACTCTATTGTTATTCCTATTTATAGATGACTCAGTTTTTACTCTGACCTAAATTTAATTGCTAATGAGAAGATACTAGTCTTAAGAAGGGGAAGTACACATAATGTCTCAACCCTAACCAAGAAGCTATATGCAACTGATAGCTATCAACAAAGGGCATATCAGTTTTCTGTTTTTTCCAATTGAGCATCAATGAATATATCAGCCATATTCTAATGCAAGACCCATATCTGGACACAGTTGGACAACACAGAACAGACTACATGATTTGTGTGTGCACATGTGTGTGTGAGAGAGAGGTGGAAGGGAAGGAGGGAAGAAGGGAGAAAGGGAGGGGGGAAGGAGGGAGAAAAAGAGGAAAGGAGGGAGGAGATAGAGATTTCATTTTATGTTGTTTATGTAGTGGTTGGTATTTTTGTCTTGGTTTTTTTCTTTTGTTATTGGTTTTGAATAGAAAAATTGTGGTGGGGGTAAGGAGACCTGAAGTTAGATAAGTAGGAAAGAGAGGAGAACCTGAGAGGAGTAGGAAAGAGAAGAGTGTGTGAGAGGAGTTGGGGGAGGGAAAACATCAAAATTTATTGTGTGAAAAACATGTAATAAAATTTTTACATTGTATACTAAATTCAGTTTGTTAATGGAAGTACTACCTCCTCATGCAGCATCATTTAAAGCATGATATTCTATGTGACCTGAGTAGTAAAATATATTGTAAATCTTGAGAAGCCGATTTGTTATTGCTGTAGAAAGGAGGTTGCTCATGAAGGAAGGCTTGGGAGTATTAGCATGAACTCAAAGGGTTTACTGTGAATACAGATTTGCATGTGAACTGAATCTGGTATTAGTGCAAGATAAAGAAGCTGTGAAGTTCTGCAGAAAATCAGAGCTGTCTGTTTGTAGAACAAGGGAAAAGACCTCTATTGTAGACAAATTTGGAAGGTTCCTATTTGGAAACGGTTATTTGATCCAACTGGCATTGTATTGCTAAAGATCAAATAGAGCAAAAGGTTGAGGGATGAAAATACAAAAATAACTCTAGTGTTCCAGTCAATGGTGGCATAGTTGTCACAAGCTCTGCCCACCCACCCCTTTGCATAATGGGAAAAAAAAGTATATATAGACTTACCATAGCACTCAGGATTATCAATATCAACAATGCCAGCTACCCAGTTGAAGATTCGATATTTTACTACACAGCTGCATATGAAGCCCCCGATTTTATTTTTACAATATGACACATCCTGACACACTGGTAGCTCCAATTCACACTCGTTAATATCTGCAAATAAAAAAAAAATCACTCACTTTTATTTTCATAGGGCTGTATCTCTTTATCTTGCCTACAGCATCTCTACTGCTAGATTTTACTTATAAATTTACCAAACAATATACTTTGTTCTCTGTTTGGATAAATTAGTAAGAGAAAGATGACTGTTTTCCTTGAATAAAGTTTTAAACTTAATACAATTCTCCTTCAGAAACTGTTTTTTATTATGTCTCCGAACATATAACAAAAGCAATTTAAGGAAGGAGTGGTTTATTTTGACTTGTGTGTAAGTGTGGGAAACAGTCCTTGATAACAGCAAGACATAGGTATATGAGGTAGTTGGTTACATTGCATAAGCAACCAGGCTGCAGATGGAAATCAATACTGGTAGTAAGCTGTTTTTTTCCCTTTGTTGCCTTTTTGTTTAGTCTGGAATTCAAGTCTATGGAGTCTTGTCATTCACATTCAGGGTACATCATCCTTCCTCATTTAAGACTCCCTGGAATGATCTTCACAGACATGCCCACAGGTATTATTCCAAATACAGTCAAGATGACAATGAAGATTAATTATCACAAATACCAATAAAATACATACATGTGCTTTGTAGAGTAACACCCCCAAGCAATATCCAAAAGGACTGTGAGGTGGGCAGCAGCAATCTCTAGACACCGAGGCATCCTATATAATACTCAGAATAATAATGAGGTACTAGTAAATGAATAGAGGAAATAGAATAGTGGAGTAGATTAAAAGCTGAGAAATAGATTCTAGAGCATGGTGATGGTGGCAGTGATTTCTCAAATACTGTATCACACTTCCAAAGTAAGGGTTGAGTAGCTTATTTTATTCTGGTTCATGTAGTTTGCTAAACTGACTTATAGCATATACTCAGCAACAAGGGAATGGTAGTGGTTTAAATAATAAATGTTTCCTACAGGCTCAAGTATTTGAATAATTGCTTTCTGTTCATATCACTGTTTATAAGGCATGTTGGAGGAAGAATATCACTGGGGTTGGCTTTTGGGTGTTTATAGCCTTGACCCACTTCCTTCTTGTTATTCCTATATGTACTTGAGATGTGATATATCACCTCTGACTGCCTCATACTATGACTTTCTAAGTTATGGACTTAGTCCCTGAAACCACAAACCAAAACACTTTCTTCCTTGTGTTGCTTTTGGTTATGTTATTTATAAAAGCAACAAAAGTATAACTAATGCAGAAGTTGAGAGTTTGAAGAAGCAAATCAGTGTTTAGGAACACTGTCTCCTCTTGCAGAAGACAGAGGTATAATTCCCAGAATCCAAATGGTAGCTTACAACCATCTGTAATGACAGTCATCCAGCCTCCATAAGAACTACATGAATATGGTACAAATACATGCAGACAAACACCCATATACGTAATAGAAAAATAGGAAATGATGCTGGTACTAGGAAGTGGAGTTATTATGATTGACCCCACCATTATGTCCTTTTGAGGAAGGTGGAAGACTTCAGAAGTCTGGATTAGAAACCTGAATGACTCTATAAGCAGAGTTTAATTAGCTATTATTGAAGGATCTCAAACCACAATGGTGCAGAGAGTAATGAGGACATTAGAGGTCTGGGGCACAAGAGACCTCCGAGGTAAATAAGTCCTCCATTAACTCTGAGTTAAAGTCCACTTGTGTATGCTTCATTGAAGAATCTGGATGTTTTCTGCCTTTGTCCTAATAATTGGCACACAGCTAAACTTAAAAATAATTGACTAATTTATTCATCGGAGGACTTTTCAAGGCAGCACAGTTCTGAGTTCATGCATGGTTATCACTGATTATCTCACTCACTTCTAGAAGGATAACAAGAAAGCAGGGAAGAAAGAAACTTAAAATGTATACTATAGAGAGAAAGTAACCCCAAAAAGCTTGTGGATGCCCTAAATGTACACCAGAAAAGAGACTGTGAATACTGGAGATTAGAGCCATCAAGGTTAGACCTCTTCTTCTGCACTGGAACAATGGGAGGGAGCCCTGAGGACAAGAGGACAATCAGCCATTGAAATGAGTAAAAAGATGGCCCAGGGAGCTTCTGCTCTCAGAATATATACCAACTCTGTTGCAGATGTGATCCAAGGAGTCAGGGATCCATCCTAAGCTGGCATCCAAACTTGGTACTGTTGTTACCAAGGGATCAGCAGTGGAGGCATGAATAGTGCAAGAATGAGGATGTTTTGAACTTTTCTTCTGTGGTTTCAGGGAACTCTTGTGGGCAGGCAAAGTGTGCCAGGGCTTTCGTTCATGAGAGGCAATGAGAGCCTACTATGTGGATTTGTAAACGTGAAACCTGTATTGTGGAGGTCTCAAGGTGTTGGAGTTACCAGAGCTATTAAATACCTGCCAAGAAGAGCTTAACTGAAGGAGTGGTACCAGCTGAAAAGAGGGGAGGGGGGATAAACCTGGAGGAGCAGAACCATCTAAGTCCATATAACTAATGGCCCAGATACCAGACATGGAGCTATAGCATTTGAGGTTTACCCTGTTGTGTTTCATTTCCTTTGGTGCGAGCTTTCATCACTATGCCCCCATTATTCCCCTTTGGAAAGATAATGTATACTCTGCATCATCACATGTATGAAGCATACAGTTTATATTTTGGTTTTACAAGGCATACAGAGCTTTGAGTCTCAGAGTAGTATTTTAATTTTGGATTTTGAACATTGTCAAGACTGTGAAAGACTAGGATATTTAAAGTTGGTGTAAATGCATTTTGTCACATGAGATGGCCATGAACCTATGGTAGTCAAGATATCAAGTATAACAGTTTAAATAAAATACTGCCCACCATAGGCTAAAGAAAAATTGATCTCCTCTTTGTAGCATTGATTCTATGGGTTACAGCAAATATATAATGTGTAGCTTTGCTGAAAGAAGTACACTACTGAGTGAGGACTCTGAGGGTTTATAGCCTTGGCCCACTTCTTGTTCATTGGCTCAGTTTCCTATTTGTGAATGAAATGTGAATTCTCGGGTTCTAGATACTGTTAGGTCCAAAGGAAACTCCAAGTTCCCAAACTCCAAAAGGAAGTCTAGTGATCTCAACCTAGACTATAGGAGGATTTCTGGAAGTTACATAAAAACTAACATTCTTCAGGAAATTTCGAAACTGGTTGCCCTTTACGGAAATGAGTTATTTACCTTACCCCTGGCAAAAGGGGAATATGGCTGGCTACCTATGGTACCTTCTAGCATATCAAAACTCATGCTATCTTCTAGATCCCCTCAGTATCACAATACCTGTTGCATGTTTCAAAGTTCATCCTAGCATCCTAGCCCTTCTCACCTCCTCCCCTATCCTAACTCTGTCCAGCTTTTAGGCTATTCACACTCCCCCTTCCCAGCTACATATTCCTTAGAGCCCTGCCACTCTCTTTTGTTCCTACTTCTCTCACTATGTTTTGCTCCTATTTCTCTCACTATGTTTTCTTTATTCTCTATCCCCTGCTATTCTCCTCTCTCCAGCCCTGTCCATGTCCAGTCTTCTGGTGACATTAAATCTACTTATCTACTTTCTCTTTCTGCTCTGGACCATTGTCCAGATGTCTTCCTGTTGTTTCTGGCTATTATCATCTCATATCTACAACAAAGCTTTCCCCTCAGCCATACAATGAAGCAGTCATGTTGTCTGTTTATACAGATGCCTGATTCTATGCCTATCCCCATCATTGTAGACTCCTTTCCTGAAACCATAAACCAAAGCAAACTGTTTCTTCTGTAAGTTACTTTTGGTCATGGTGTTTATCACATTAACAAAATGTATCTAATAGAAGAATTATAGTTAGGATAAATGAGGTCATTATTAGAAATGGTTAAAAATGAGGTTGAAAGAGAATACTGTTTAAAGTGTTCCTAACATAATGCTCATCTGTCTCAAGAGATAGGTGGGAGGAAAGACATCAATATTTGTATATTAAAGATTACATTTGGCTTAAAGACTGGAATTCTCTCTCTAGGGGGGATGCATTTAATAAAATAATGTAGGGACCAAAAAAAATCTTAAGAAATTCACAGAGGAAATACATGTTATGTAAAAGACCAGAACTGATATTTATAAAGTATGAATTTCTGTCTTTTCTAAGCTTACCCATCTCCTTCTATCTTGAGGAGTACTATTGGCTTTTCTCTTTATAAACTAACTTTCTTGCTCCCAGTATCCATATGTAGCTGGTTCAATTCACTGTTCCAGGACACAAGAACTTAGAAATCATAGCAGGTTCTCCCAGGATTCTGATTTCTTCCCATAATAATACAACCAGTCCTTCTGAACATCCATTTTCACTGCTGTCAGACCATAGATGAAGTTTAAGTGAGGGGAGTATACAATGATTAGTTTTAATTGTGAAACTGATGCAATTTACAACTAGAGTTGTGATTATCAGTTTTAATTGTGAACATGACAGAAGGTAGAATGGCCTGGAAAAGAGTCTCAATAAGAGAAATATTGTTGGTTCTGTTGGCATGGGGACATGCCTGTGAAGGATCCCTTTCATTGTCTTAATTAAGGTAAGAAGATCTGCCACCCTGAATGTGAACAGAAATATATATATGTATGTATGTATGTATGTATGTATGTATGTATATACTTATTTTACATATCGATCCTAGTTCCCTCTCCCTTCATCCCTCCCATGCCCCCCGAGACCCCGTTCAGTCCCATTCCCTTCCCCCACTCCATAGGGAGGGTGATGCCTTCCAGGAGGCATCATCAGAATCTGTCAAGTCATTTGTAGTAGGGCCTAGGCCCTCCCTCCTGCCTCTAGGCTAAGGGGAGTATCCCTCTGTGGGGAATGTGCTCCCAAAGTCCTTTGCTGCACCAGAGACACATCCTGGCAGAACCACTTCTTAAACGGGGCCCACGATTGAGTGAAAAGGGAATAGCTGCCTCATTCATTCTGTTCCTGTTCAACATCCCTCCCACCTTGATTTTTCTAAAGTGATAGACGGTAATCTGATACAGTGAGCTAAGGGAAACTTTTGTTCCTCACAGTTGCTTATTTCAGGGTACTTAGTCACAAGAGAAATGAAACCAATAAAGATGTCTAGAGATCAAAGATTCCTTGAGCCAAAGAGCCACATGGCCCCTGTCTGTCCAAAGAATATAATATGAATACACGTGGTTAATACCTTTACTTTGTCAATGATTCTTCTAAAGATCTCCGAAATCTGCATGACCTATCAATGTTTGATCAAGGAGCATAAGAATTTTTAATAACAAGTAACCTGGCACATTGTACTCTTTAGTATTTTTGTTAACATGGCACAACAAAGGGCTTTTTTGATAGTTGGACCTCAATTGAAAAAAGGGCTCCCACAGATTGTTCTTTTGTTGTGAAGTGGCATTATGACAAAAGCAATCTGTAAAAGAAAGTATTTGATTGGGGACTTATCATGACATGAAGCACGGCAGCAGATAAACACACATGGTTCTGGAACAGTAGCTGGGCAATTGCATCTCGTTTGATCCACAGGCAGGAGGGAGCTAACTGGTAGTGTCATGAGCTTTTAAAACTTCAAAGCCTACCCACAGTGACACACCTCCTTCAACAAGCCGCACCCTCTAATCCTTCTCAAACAGTTACACCAACTGGGAACCAAGCAGTTAACTATAGGAGCCCATAGAAACCATTCAAATCACCATATTGAGTAAGCCATGAAGAAAAATCCAGTAAACAGTACTCCTCCATGGTTTCTGCTTCAGGTTCTTTCTCCAATTCCTTGCCCTGAGTTCCTGTCCTGAATTCCCTCTGTAATGGAAAGGAACCATTTCCTCCTCAGGTTGCCTAGAGTGTGAATCACAAGAGAAAGCAAATGAAGACAGACTTCTTTACCTTCACATTTCTCATGTGGCTCAATAATTTTTCTATTATCAGGTTTTGTCCTGTATCCATTTTCACAAATACAGTGGGTGCTGTTGTAGCAGGTAGCATTTTCATTGCACTGAGGGCAGGAAGCTGCAGAGAACACAGAGAGAACATTTATGTATTTTCTCATGTTCTTTCAGAGATCTCTTTTCTATTTATCCAACTTCTTCATGTAGATGCTCACAATGCCTTCCCATATCCATATTCTTACATATGCAACTACTTTCCAAACTGTCAAGTTTCAATTAGGGGACCTTATGTTTTCTTTCCTGAGAACTTTCATTAGTCATTGAATCCTCACTGCTGATCAGAGGACAAGTTAGTAACATCTTCCCAACAGGAAAGAGGGGTTCCATACAACAATGACTGACAGGAATGGGTCTACAAAAGACCCAGCTTCAAGAACTGTGGAGATGCCTTAGTTGCTAATTTAAATATGCTTTAAGTGTAAGTATGATAACTGGAGTTCAAATCATACATCACAGTGCTAGCAATGACACAAGTTTAGGTCAAGAACATAGGCTAGCTTCTTTCAGTTCTGTGACTTGGAGCCAGCTCCTCATCTAGAAAACCAATTACCACATGTGAATTTTGTTTTCTTTATAACTATGGTATCTTATCATAGTGACATCATGAACATCAAATGAAATTACATGTGTAATTGCTCAGCTAAGTGATGGAAAGAATGCTTGTGAAGATGAAGATGTTAGAGGCATGACAATAAAGAGTTCCACACTTAACAATGATCACTTCACTTCTAGATAATAGAATCCTATACTCCACTATCTTTTCCCCAGGCTTTATCCATGAATAGACTCACCTGAAACATTCTGCAGTTGGACCACGGACCAGACCAGCAAGACACCAAGAGCTGAAATAGAAAGAGGAGGGAACATTCTAATTGGATTGCTTTGGGGCTCTAGCTCTGCTTGGGAGTGTTATAGCCTCTGTCTGCCCTATAGAGAAGACGCTTATATTCATGCACATTAGCTCACTACAGTGGTTATAATGAGTTATGATAAGAATGAAAACACTGAACAGAGAGAAGTACATCCTATCATAGCTGTGAACTCACCAGTGAACTCAGATGTTTCTTCAAGACTAGCACACAGATGCCATATCCACAGTCTTTGTTCTATATTTAGGGGCCCCTCTTTCCAGTGCAGGCCTCTAAACCCACACTGTATATGAATCTAAAGATAATCAGCATATGAAAAAAAAACACTGAAAAAAGAATTCATATGTTAGGTGACTTTTCTGGATGAGTCTGTTTTTATTACACTGCTTGATTTTTGTCATCTCAACACAAACGTGGCATATCTTAGAAGAGGGAATCTTTATTAAAGTAATTTTTCATCTGTGGCTGTTTTCTTAATTAGTAATTATGTGGGAAGGCCCAAGGCACTGGAGGCTGTGCCAGCCCTGAGCAGGTGGTCCAGGTTGTATAAAAAAGCTGGCTGACCAAGTCATGGTAAGCAAGTCAATAGGCAGCATCCCTCTTTGGTCTCTTCATCATTTAATTATCTGTGTTCTTATCTTGAATTCTATTTATAAGAATTATAATTGTAAGCTAACATAAACCTTTTCCTCCCTTAGTTATTTATTTTAACCACAGCATCAGAAAGCAAACTTGGACAAGAACCTAATAGTAATCCAAAGGAAAGACTACCTATGTCTACCTTGGTGATCCAATTAGTTTAACTGAAGTTACTTCCAGGAGCACGTGTGAAGTCTTACTTCCAATAATATAGTCAACTGAGGGACAAGTGTGCTGCCAAAGAGTTTCTTTCCAAACATAGCAACCATTAATGCTTATTTGGATTTTGAGAAACAGGCAACAAATATGCCCATCTCCAAAAAGAATTTCAGTGAATCTAATGTTATGAAAGTATTCTGTGAGAATCCACGTGTGCTTTGATTCAAATGTTCCACATGTGTATGTCATGAAAAGAGTGCATAGTACCATAAGAAGCTGAAATTGATTTCAATCCTATATTTTTAGATCATCTAAAAGGGTTAAGAGATTAGCCCTTTATCATGTAATCATGTGTAAGTAGAAAAAATACATATTAGTATACAGATTATTTAAAATGCTGTTCATTTTGTATGTATTGTGTCTCTGATGTAGTGTATGTTTCAGAAATGTGGTACAACTTTCCTCACATTGAACATATTTCTTATGCTCAATTGAATCACATGGCTGATGGGAATAGTGTTTGTAAGGGACATTTAAGCTATAGTGATATTCATGTTCTCAAGAAGATGAGTGAAAAGTAGAAAAGCACAGACTGTGTATTTGACCTCATAATCCTCTTAGAGTTGATACAAAAAGCCTTCCATTTCACAGATGTCATGAGAGCTAATTCTCCTCCTTGCTTGAACCAGGCATTTACAGATAACACACCCCCTAAATGGAGAATGGCTAAAGCCAGAAACATTCCATTATGCACTAACTAAGCCCAAGCTTAGTTCCATGTGCCCTTTATCCAGGAGTATCCTCAGGACCTTCCCTTCACCTGCACAAGCAAAAATACAAGATAAAGCTACGCCTCTAAATCTAACTGAAGTGTGCTGTCCCTGGGCCTAATTCCCTGGGCACAACAGTTTTCTTCCCCCTGCTCTCACATAGGGTAGCTTAAAATAATTAATTCTGTGCTCTTTGAAGTGGGTAAAACCCCTGTTTCATGTTATCATTTATCAGGATTCCTAACAAACCCTTAGCCTGAAAGTTGATTTTTCTGTCTCTCTCAAGCCCCACTTTCCCTCCTTCCCCAAATCCTACCCAGAAAATCCAAGGAGAGTGGTATAAAATCCAAGGAGAGTGGCATATTGGTTTTATAGATATCTGATTCTGCTGACATGTTTTAAAACAGATGTTTGTAGTGTTCAAGGAAAGCAAATGTTAGAGTTAAAAAGAAAGTTAGGGTTAAAACAGTGTTGTTGGAAACTCTGAAGACGATACATAAGAGGGATTACAGCTAAGTAAGAGATATTCAAGCTAACCAGATAAGGATCCAACTGACTTTGGTGGCATCCGCCTGCCTCACCACCCTTTCTGAGGAATATATGCAAGGCACTGTGGCACTCTAATCTATGCTTTCATCTAAATTCTGGATAAGGACAGTTTCTAAAATGTCTCTAGCTATTCTAAGAAGACCACTCCTGCTAACCTTGCAGAGAAGGAGCTAAACCTTGGGTAAAAAAGAGAACCCATAACTACTGTTGGCAGCTCTGATGAGAGGTAGCAGCTCATGTTCTGTCAAGACAATAGTTCATAGCAACTACAAGACAATCACCCAAGTGTGAAAATAAAGAGAGAGCAGATTAGTTGGTGAATAATTTAATTGAAGAGCCATGACAATATTGAAAGATAGCTGATTAAGCAAAGCCCAATGGATGATATGATGGCTGCTCCTGGTTATCAAATGGAGAAAGAGAACCTTAGTTGAAGAATTGCTTCTATTACATTGACCTGAGGACACGAATGTCATGCATGCTTTGACTGCTAATTTACACTGCATGGTAAGTAAGAGATACACATTCATCTCTAGGTAGTTTGACTTCATCATCATAGGGCACTTAATGCTGATTTTAATATTCATACTCACCTTCCTAAATTTTTATGACCCTTCCTATAAGACAGAAAAATCAAAAGTAGGGCAAGAGAGATACAAACAAAATGCAAAACTATTTCTTAAACTGTAATGCACAATTAATCACTTTTAATCTCATTTTTATATCAGGTCCAAGAACATTTTACATAGTTTTGGCCACTGCAGGTTCATCATGATAATGTTGAAAATTTTATGGATGTATATTTTCACTTAAATCTGCAAGTTTATCTGATAGTTTGCTTTTCTGTTGAAAATGTCAGCTTTTAATAGACGTTTGGTTTGGTTTTATTCAGCATGTGTTTTCATTTTCTTTGGTGCTTATAGTCACTGCATGAGGGATCTCAAAATAAATGCAGCACAGATATTTAATAGCACAATCACGTGATACTGTTGCTGGAGAAACTAACAATGAAGGGTAAGTAAGAATTGCTACAATAGCAAAACCACAAGGAGATGACAGAAGCCTTTTCCACTTACCTGTGGTGTGCGGCAAGCACCTGATTTCCATATCTCCAGTTGCCACCACCAAAGATCTCAGAATCTATCCAACAAGACTAGGTGAGAGTTCCTGGAATGAATCGATGAACAATCATATCTTGGTGGTCGGAAAAGTTAGAAGACAGATAAACAATTCATATCAAACCCATTGACTTTCACCTCTTTCTATCAGGACTTACATCTGACAACCCATCTTGAGGAAAATACATGTCAAAGGTGACCAGAGTATCATTGACTGGAGCAGGCATGCTTACTCCTCAATCAATAGCCAAGCATCAGCATTCAATGCACCTCAGTTCTGCTGGAATTTAAGACCTAGGTAACACATTGATGGGTTCATAGTAATGTTTTTCTTATATTCATGGTTGCTATTTCTTTTCAAGTTTTCACTAACAGTTACATTAATTTGTGATGGGCAATACTACATTTACATATGACATTGCATGGTGAAATAATTTGAAACAAAGAGCCTTTATTGCTTCACGGGTGCATCATTTTCTATGATTTCACTTAAGGCCTATTTTTATAGCAGGGACTATGCTATATTATAACTAACTGTAGTTACCATAGCATTCTATAAAATCCTAAAACTTCATTTTTAATGTCTGAAATCCAAAATTTTTAAATATCATCTCATTTCTGGATTTGCACCACCTCAGCCTTCATAGTCAACCTATTTTTAATTATAAATTTCATATTTTCTTTATTTCAAAAACTGTACAGTCTGGACCTGAAGACATGGCACTCTGTGTAAGAGTGCTTTCTATGCAAGCATAAGGAGCTGAGTTGGAATTATTAACATATATGTAAAAAATATGGAAACAGCTCCACATGCCTGTAACCCCAGGAGTGGAGGGTGGAGGAAGTTGGATCTTTCTGGCCAGTCACCCTAGACAAAATGGAAGTTTTCCAGTTTTGCCAGTTACCCTGTCACAAAGGAACAAAGCAGAGAATGAGAGAAGTCAGCTGACAACCTCTTCTGCTTTCTGTGTGGGCATGCATAAGTACACACATTTGTGCACTCAAAAGAATGTAACACACGCATATGTACACACACACATGCTGGAAGGAATCAAAAAGCAAATAATAAGCAACAGGGTCCCCTAAGTCCCCACAGTAGTGCATTCTTTTCGATACTTGGGGGGCTGTTTGCAGTTCGTCACTGCTGGGTGAAGGAGAGTCACTTTGCTTCAGGAATGTTGCCACTGATAGATTGTCAGTAGATGGATTTATGTGCCATATAGGTGTACATGTGTGTGCAATTAAACGCATTTTCCCTGGTTGTCTACTTTTGCTCTTTATCACTGTTAAAATTGGAGAGGTGCCGATGAACGAGAGGATAGAGGCAGCAACAGAAGTAATGAAAGGACAACTGAAGAGACTTAGAGGCAGAAAGCAGAGGCAACAATGATGATGAACACTGTGAAGAGATAAAGATAAGTGGCTGCAGTTCCTAGTCACTATATGAGCTTCAGAGACTTGCCAAACTCTGGTGTGTCCAGAGATCCTAGCCTGGAGGGCTATAACACTAACTCCTGTTAACCTTATCAGAAAGTCTGCCCTATAACGCCTAAACACCAGCTGATGTTGTGTGACACACAGATGTTGTCTGCTTCTGTCTGCTGCTATAGTTCATAGGTGTTGGAAGCAGAGGACTGGCTATTAGTGATGTTGTGTTCAAGCCACTGGTGGGAGTTAAAGTTCAGAACAGTAATCTACCATCTGAGTGCATAGCTCCATACTCCACTGCATTCTCAACCCTAGAGCAATGTAGTAATAGCTCACAGGCCCTGATGCTGTAAGCCTTCATCTTTCCCAGTCCAGCAGATAGGCCTGAAGTGTTCCACAGCTCTAGACTACCAACACTGGAAGAGTTTTCTTTTGTCTACTTGTGATTTCTATGTGGATGGAGCAAAAGACTCTAGAATATCATGAATAGCATGATGTCATCCATGAAACAGTCTCTCCTAGGTCAGATGTCAGGAAACACATTGTGAATCTGTATTTTCATAAAAATCTTTGGAAATCACCTACAAAACTTACAGTATCATCTGCTTTTGAAAATATGTGGCTGGGAATCTGATGTAACTGAAACTCTCACCACACCAGCTATTTTACATTTTGAACCAAATAGAGGTTCCTTATGTAAAAAAAAAAAATCCATTTCTGAAGGAGAAAATATAGGAAGTACTTAATGTCATTGTAAATGAGTCATTGCAGCAATGGTTTGCATTATTAGAACATCACTCAAAACTGAGAAGAGAATCTCCTGAAGGAAATGACAGTGGGTGTCTGGTATCTAAGATAGAATAGCAAATGCATAGTATCATTAAAAACATTGTTCTTTGCAAATCTGTGAAATAACAAAACTTCCCTTTGAAACCCTATGAGCCTGTCTATTTGAGTCTGTGGGTCCTGTTCTCTTGGTGTTCTCGACACCTGTGACTCCTACAACCCTGCCTTCTCTTCTTCTGACTGTTACCTGAGCTCTGCCTAATGATTGGCTATGAGACTTTGTATTTGCACCTATCAGAAGCTGGAGGGAGTCTCTCAGATAACAACTGGGATAGGCACTGATCCCATGAGTACAGCAGAACATAATTAGGATTCATTTCATTAACTTTTTTGTTTTCGCTGGCTCATGGGATGTTTTTCCTCCCACAGGGTTGCTTCATCTAGAGTTGATATGAGAGTTTATGTCTGGTCTTTTTGCAACTTGTTATGCTATGTTCAGTTAAAATCACTGGGCGGTCTGCTCTTTCCTGGAGGGAAATGGAGGAGCAGTAAATCTGGAGAAGAGAGGGAATAGGCTATGACTGGGAGTAGAGGAGCAAGGGGAGGCTACAGTCAGGATTACTGTATGAGAGAAGAATAAATTTAACAATAATTTAACAAGAATATATTCAATAATAATTTTAAAAACTATGATTGCCACCTAGATATTATACCAAGTAAAATTGTTTAATGTAATTTGAAGGAAAAAGAAAATTTTTCATAAATTAAACAGCCTAAAAGATTTACATCCAACCAAGCAAATGTAAAAAAAATAAAAGTAAGAAATAAATATCATTTTGGACTAGAGAGAGGATGCAGCTATGCAGCTAGCAGAAAGACTGTAGGAAAGAAATACAAAACCATATTATTAAAATATAAAATTCCACCAAGAACGCAAGTAACACTACCAAAAATTAACAATACAATGACCACAATTGACTTATACATTGCAACAAGTCTTTAAATATCAGTGGCCATAATTCTTTGATCAAAAGGCACAGGGTGACTGAATGGATCAATTTAAAAAAAACCTATCTGCTGTCTACAGGAAACACATCTTCGCTTTAAAGATTAAAGAGAGGAACAAAAGTTCTCCAATCAAGTGATATCAGTAAGCATGCAGGCCCTAATACATGATAAATAAAGTTTAAAGTAAAACTAATTAGAAGAGACAAAGAAGGACATTTCCTTCTAATGAAGAAAGCAGTAAACAGAAAATATATCACTATCCTAAATATATTATGTACCAAATATTGCAGTGCCCGATTTCGTGACAAATCTACCACTAAATTTAAAGATACCTGCTAGCATCAATACACCAATAGTAGGCTGTTACACTACCACACTTTCTTCAATACACAGGCCATCTGAACAAAAAGTAAACACAGTAAAACATGTGGTCAAATATAGACCACACACTAGAGCACAAAAAAAACTTTGTGGAGTCAAGAAGATTGAAATAATTTCATGTAACTTATCAAACCATAATGCAATAAACCTTAAAATTGGTCCCTACCCCAAATGACTTGACAGATTTTGATGATCCCTCCTGGAAGGCATCACCCTCCCTGTGGAGTGGTGGGTATAGGATGGGAGGGGGGTCAGGGACCTGGGAGGGAGGGAGGAAAGGAGAGGGAACTGGGATCAATATGTAAAATAAGAAATAATAACAAATATATATATAAATTGATAGCAAATAAATCTCTTGTAAATGCACAAACTACATGAGATCAAGCAACTCATTACTGAATAATGAATGGGTTAAAGAAAAAATCAATACAAATAAAAATTTCCTATAAGAAAATGAAAACACAATGCAATAAAACCTCTGGGGCACTGAATGGTACCCCACAAGGGAAACTTATAGCTCTAAGGGCTTGAATTACAAAATCAGAAAGAGACAGGTGGTGGTGGCACTTTTAATTCCAGCAATCAGAAGGCAGAGGCAGGTGAATATCTGTAATTTCAAAGTCAGATTTCTCTACAGAGAGTTCTAGGAGTGAGAGCTGTTACACACAGAAATCCTGCCTCAAAAATTAAACAAAATCGAGACCCTTCCTGCCACCAAATCCCCCAGAGGAACCTGGAGGCAGAACAAAGGACCCACACAGGTGTCATTTCAGCCCTGCCCCTCCACCCTCTGCTAGAAAGAGGAGAGGGAGAGACTCCACCTGTACCTACTGGAGGAAGATATGGGAAGGTCACAGTATAAGAACACATCCAACAACAGCAAAACATATATGACACCACCAGAGTCTAAGGATTCTACACCAGCAAGACTTGGACATCCCAACTCAGATGAAGCAGAAGAGAATGACCTTAAAAAACAACTTCATGAAGAGGCTAGAGGCCCACAAAGAGGATATCAGGCACTCATGGCCTGAATCAGCTCAAGTATGGCTGCAGATGCTTGAGAAGTGATAACCAATGACGGGAAACTCCTAGCAGAATAAATTCCACCTAAGACAGGGAATGATGAGAGCATTTCCCCATGATGGATAAGGTATTGTTCCCCAGGTGACCTAAGACAGGGATTGCTACATTTAAAAAGTAAAAAGGGAAGAACTGTTGGTAAATTGAAGTACTTGTCCCTTACAGCTCTCTTCCTCCCCACCCAGCTGTAGAACTTCCGTGCAAACAAGGTTGAGCAAACAAGGTTATTTTCAGAACTTTCCAGTGTGCAGTGCCTATACCTTGACCCCAGGTATGGGTGGTGCCTGACTTCCTCCTGTGCTTAGCCCATCCCCTGGTTTGGGTATATAAGCCCATTACTCTCT